CAGATCTTGGTTTACGGAGATATTTTTAACAGATACACACATAGATAGGCCTTACGTCTCTCTCACGTACCACACACCCATCATTACTTGGCTAGGGTAGGGGTTTTGGAGGCGTGTGCCCTTTCTCCGGTATGTGTCATGTAGCAAATCTTCAGATCTGATGGAGTACATGCCTACGGCGCATCATCAGCTAGGTTTAGGTATGCTGATAATAATGTGGTGGTGGGCCCCGCAAACTCAGCCCGAGAACGTGGATCGGAACAAATTCTTTGGGTACAGGGCATGGACAGAGAGATAGTGTGGTGTGGTGTGGTGTAACTTAGCCGTACCGTGCATATATCAGAGAATTTAACGAACACTTTTCTTCCGGAGCGTCATGTTTGGGTATGTTTTTGCCGTCCGATAGATGATGGCCGACGCCCATTGCATTGACTCCTCTGATCTCCAGACATTATTACTGAGATGAGGCCAGATATGCATTGTGGCCTTGGAAAACTGGTAAAACGAACATTACCCCAAAGATATGCCAAAGATATCCCCAAACAAGGTACTTTTACCATCTCGCTATTTTCCAACAACACCCTCTTTGTCTCTTTAAGTTTCCTGATGGACATTTTTGTTTTTTTCCCGTGCGCGCGCGATGCCTTACCCGCAATGATCATTAAAGCGGATGAAACGATGAAACAAAAATGACTATATAAATATCTCAGATGCGAAAAAAAACAGGCACAATCACATAACCTCGGGCCCTTCTCGCACACCCCCTCAGGTCCAATAGCTCTTCACTATCCAGATGAGTAACTAAGACGTGCGTTGTTCGTTGTGCTTTACTTGCGACGACGTTGAGATGTCCCGCAACAGCATGAGATCGAATTCACTGGCATATACCCGTCCATCGATCTGAAATCGCAGGCTGCCAGGCCCAAATCAAGATATGTAGCCTATGCCTTGCCTTTGCCTTTGCCTTGCCTTGCCTTCTCCCTATGAGAAAATTAAAAAGGCGAGGGTGTTTTGGTTAAGTGCAAATTAAGATCCGGCTACAAACGGTATTCGAGTAGCCGAAATCGAAGATTGTTTGCAATTGCAATTGTGTCCTTTGCGAAAAACAGTGTCACATCGACCGAACAACACATAGTCGGTCGGTCCGGTGAGCAATTGATCATAGCTGAAAACCTGGGAAACGGCCCCCGGCCCTATGAACATGCAAACAAAATCTCACCCTACCGCTGGCTTTGATCAAGATGTCGATGTCTGCAATAACATTCAGGTACGGATCGTAGCCTGTACCAACGGGTTCAGTAATTCTTCCCTAGATGTGGATCAGGGCCCCACCATCACGACCACGGCCAGGGCCAGGGCCAGGACCACCCCGCCCCCCACCATCACCGCTTATCACTATCACTCAGTGGCCCAGAGAGGAAGTGTATCGTGAGGCCTTAATCGTGAGATCGCAAGATGGGAGACATGAGAGAAATGTATTTTCCCATAGTAGAGAGACAATGGGATCATGATGACTAGGCGGGTAAAATGGTGGTTTCCGGCTCCAGGTTGGTGGAGGTTGTTATCAGGAAAAGGCATGCTAAGGCCGGGTATTTGGTTTTTTGCTAGAGAGGAGAAGGAGACCGCCGATCCCCCGCCATCGAGGTCTAGGGCTCGGGAGGGATGTTTACCCTAAGCAACCCCTTCAAACAAAAATTAGTAACTTACCGGGTTTGCCGCCGACGTTTGAATAAGATGTGGCGAGCTTAGTACGGTGAAATTATTACCTTTTGTCCCGAAATAGGTTTCTGGCAGGCAAGAGTCGTAACAACAATCGCTTAAAACGCCTAGCGTCGATCGGATGTGGCGGAGATTATTACCACAGCCTCTTGGCCCGCCACATCTTAATTTAACGACGTCGTCTTTAGATAGATACATACTTGGCCGTTGAGGATTTCTTTTTGATAGAATTTGCAGAACGGTTTTCGGGAAAAGGAAGAGTACAGGAATATCGTGGCAGCTTGACGTCGTTGATCATGACAGCAAAACGGTATCTGGCAGAAAGACAGATGTGCACTTGATCTCGCGGTTGGTTGCTGGAAGTGCAAAAACCCCGACAAACCCTACATATGAAGATCACATGCCGGATTTATTTGAGCCATATTTTAAGTTCCTTACTATCTTGCTCTGCGCACTCGTATTTGAGGGAATACTAATCAAAAGGAAAAAGATGAGTCTCACATCACCAGATATCACTCGTTTTTGATAAGATACAAGAACAACACACGTACAGTTCATATTTTTAGCCATCCATTGTAACTCGCTCGCCCATTGACCTATCAGGAACCAGTGCCATATGTACCTGCCTCAGTGGGGCGCCTTACGTCTAGCAGAAACAAACATAAGCCTTATGGGGCTGTGCCATCTCATGGGCCTTGTCCGTCCATCTCTTTGTTCATCGGATCCTCGGGAAGAACAGATGTCCCCAGATGTCTCAATGTGCTTAGATGTCTTGTACTATTGGCTTGAGCAAACGTTCTTCGCTATCGTGAAATGCAGCCGAGTTTCCCGCAGCTGGGACAGAGGGGAAGTGCGATATCGTGATAGTCTCAATGTTTGAAGGTGTGAGTTAATACCATGAGCCATAATGGTGGCTTACGAAATATACATGGTTGTTGTGATAGGCGTTTAGCCGTTGAGTAGAGGCGACGAATCAGAGATCGGGTTTTGTGCGGCAGTCTGAGTGATAGTTCATGAACGAGAACAAGATATCACATTCCCTCGAAAAAAACAAAATTCGAGAAAAAAACAACTCGGATGAGTCAAATAAAAAGATTTCCCGATTGGAGAACACATGTGGTCATGAGTACTGATATGAGCTATAACACATCATATATGATGGCTGAAACGAGGCTTGGTGCGCACCGATGCGCAACGTACGCTTGTAAAGCAGTCCAATGGTAATGACACCAACGGCACACCCGTCAGGTAATTCAAGCTCTTTGACCTATATTTTATTACGTGGTTTAGGTCTTGGGTCTTGAGCCTCCAACCACAACTGAATGCGCGATTTAGGCGCATGTAATTAGCCGCCGGGAAAATACCCATTAAAACCGAGTGATATCTCATGGTGTTCGCGCGTTTTCAAGTAAAACGCCAAGGGATCAACGTTACAATCGGTGGGTAGGGTTTAGTATATGCACTAAGGCCATAGCGTCTTATGTTTTTGTGACAATCATATATAGCACACCGATTTTTACTTTATTTTGTGTATTGGTGGCATTTACTTATGAGGAATTTATCTCCTCCGAAACAATACGCAGGCACTTGTCTTTCCCATCACGGAAAAAACACGCGAGGCAACCATATCTACCAAGTACTAAATTCAGCATCACGAGGACCATGTACGGTCATCAAACCGCAAAGAGGGACATCTCAAGAAACCCAAGAGCTTGGTTAGGTGCTTTAGGTATATCTCTAGCTCAATCTTGCAATACCGAATATAACTGTCATGTCTACTTGTAAGTCTTCTGTTTGGCCGTTAACTCCGTACATAAGTGCAATGCGCTGCAGACTTTGCTCAGCGTGCCCGGTGCACACACACCAACCACAGCCAGCCCTTTGAAATCAATATTATCAAGCAAAATATATACAAGTTTTATGGACCTGAATGATTGTATATTAGAAACACTCGATTAATTTATAAATAGATTTCGAATAGATACATGACTGGACAGATCATGAATTAAACAAAAAAAAAAAAAAGAAAAGAGAAAATTATGACTGGATAGCTGGTTACTATCGAGTGATAATATATGATGAATGTATTCATAGCCGATCACTCGACTAAGAGAAAAAAAGAAAGAAATGCCACCAGTGAAGCGCCTTTTGTCTACAAGAAGTCACCACCATTGACTGTATTTTGCGAAAAACACACAACTCATAGGGTGCGGTTTTGATTTCGGAATTTCAGCTTTTCGTGCCAACTGATCCCATCTCGAGAAACCAAAATTATCGATATTTGATCTTTAACCGAGATTACCACAGGGTTTGTTCTTGCTAAGTAAGACTATCTCTAGGGGCTTGTTGGCTGGCCGGCTATGTTGGTTGTGTAACCACGCGAAATGATATAAAACCATCCATCACATGTCATCACTCGGTTTGCGAAGGAGATTTCCCGTTATTATTCTTTTTTTTTTTTTTTGTTTAATTCATATTTTCCGTTATTAAATACTCTAGACTGGTTTCTAAGTTTATTAATTTTTGGAGAAGTAGTATTTTGCGACTGTAATCGAATGGGTAGTATAATATAGTACTTATATGCAATACTTACAATGTGACTCGATTGCGAGCTCGAGGAGGTAAGTACGCCATACTAGTACAAATTTGATTTGATTAGAATGAACATCGGGCTGAACCTTTTATATAGATATAATAACCCCAGAATTTGTATCTTGATATAGAATGCATGTGATTGTAACCTTTGTTCGGGTTGAAAATTTCATTTATCGAGTGAGGAGCTGTGAGCACATAGTTTGAACACAGTTTAGACAGACTGATGTTGGTTATTTCCATAGCTTTAAGGCTGCATGTAATTAATGAATTAAACCAGAAAAGAAAAAAAAAAGTCTGATGTTGGTTTAAGGACTTCATGCAGCTAGCTCCGGGGTGGTCATGAATTAGCTAGCCCCGGCAAAAAGGAGTACCCTAGGTCAGGCCCGAACTGATGGCTTTCGCATAGCATACAGATTAAACTATTTTGTATAAGAAAGACACGCTAACTACTGCGTCACAAGGGTTAGTACACGTATTTTTGGACCTTGAATACCCCGACATAAGAGCTCATTATATGATTATCGGGTATCAAAAAATTTATATGAAAAATCAAGCATGTATTTAAAGTAGCATTGAGTCATGTATTAAAAAAAACAAGGGTACTAATCTTAAATACTAAATATTTAAGTACATCGCTCTTACAAGAATCTTTAAATCGGAATGTCGCATTTTAAATACAAGTATAGCTAGTCCCATCCCACACTTGCAAGTGAGTGTAAGTAATCGGTGTCGCAAGGTGTTATGTCGAGTGGATTGTCCACATCCTCGAGATGCTCCATGGCCACATGCTCCAGATGATCCAGTTGCCCCATAGTCACATACTCCACATCCCCTAGCTCCCCTAGTCTCTCAAAACCATCGGACTCCCCAGAAGTTGCGAAATCCTCCACCACCATCACAGAGTCCCCGGCCTCGACACTCGCAGTACCACCACGCTTGATTAAAAATTCGATGATCTTAATCAAGACGTCCCGTATGGCATTGAAATCCATCTCACTGCCAAGCACACGCCAAGTACAGTCCTCTTCATTGGAACCCAACATATCCCAGGCTACCTCTACTGGCGTGCGGCCCGAACTGTCTCGAACATTCACATCCATCCCTCTTCTCAACAGACTTTTGAAATACTTGATTGGCATAAGCCAAACGACCGCAACGTGAAGTAGCGTCTCCCCAAAGATATTCCCATCAATATCTCCGGCAACCCAGTCGATATTCGCACTATCCAAGAAGACAGCAACCTTTTCACGTCTAGATTTAGTTTGAGAGCCCAAACCTGGCTCATACCCGGAGGTAAGGTACGACGGTATCACAGATGTGCCGGCCCCGTGTTCAATCAATACCCGTATTACTTTGGCTGGTACATGTTCATTGTCGAATGCCAGCTGGAGTGGCCATTCGCCGGCCAGGTTATCATCTTCAACACACAGTCCCTTTGATAGCGCAAACTTTGTCATTCTAACAGAATTAGAAGAAAAAATAGCCATATGAAGAAGGTTGTTCCCCCCGGCCCATAGATGATCTGGGTCAATTTCCTCGAGCGGAGTGTGTAAGAATAAAGCATTAGCCTCTGCTCGAATTACCGCCCACCGACTCCCAAGATTCCAGTCAATGGAACACGAGTCCGTTTCAAAAGAAGCGAATATAAATTCATCAACAGTTCTTGAGGTCGCAAGCTTTGTACTAGTTCCCAGCCTGATGAATCTCTCTACTCGACGTTCATCAGTGGCTTGGAGTGCGCTGGAGAGTGCCGAGTGTGCTACTGCGTGTAGGTTCTGGTCATATTGGTCGTATGTGTGCACCATTCCCGAAGGGAGGTAGGATCCCAGAGCCTCTTCCGTTTTGATGGCCATCATAAGGTTCGGCCCGGCAGTTAGGATGAGGTCCACGGTTTCGTCATCGAGCTTCTCGCCGGTAAGACAAAAGTACCAATAAGTTTTTTCATTTACTTGTATTCTGAACATCTCCTCCTCGTCATATGACGAATGAGGTTGGTTGAGAAGGAGTATTTGTCCTATCGCCTTCTCGTTTTCGAAAAGCCAGCGAATCATCTCAACATCTCGTTTTGCAGCAGCTTCAAACATGGCAGATATCATGTAGCTAGTGTCACGTAAGAGGTGTTTGTCACGAATCAGCTTGTTGAGAGGGGCACCGAACTCTCGGGGGTTGGCATCTCTAAGTGATCTGAGACCATTCATATAGAGATTTTCTGCGATCTGACAAACAATTTCGTTGGGCAAGGATGAAATGATATCTTTTCTTATGGGGGCCGCTTTAGAAGCAATTTCTTGTGACGACGTTCGCTTCATCGTGTTCTGAATAACATTGATGTAGTTTATGATGAGGTGAGTTGAACTTATGAATTCGTCTTGCGGCTGGGGAGGAGGTATATGGGTGATGTCCATGGTTCGATACTGAATAGATTATTTGGATGTGAGATTCTGGGTGACCGTTGGAGGTTGAAGGATTGTTAATGTAGTGTGTAGGTGTAGAACTGTTGGTGACGGATTTTTAAAGTTGAGGTTCTGATATTTAGCGAAGCGATACCTGGGTGCAATATTTGAATGGAAACCAACTCTTTGGGAAATATTGTTTCTCGAGCCAGGTGCCCTAGTAATTATAGGGAGATTCTTAGTTTCCTATCTAACCTGTATACATTCTAGCTAGATCTATCTACGCAATAATTAAAAAAAAAAAGAAAGAGAGAAAAAAAAAGAGAGAAAAAAACGATCCATCTACGCAATTGAATTAAAATAAAACAGTTACTTGAAGTTAAAGTATTCATGCTGACGTAGCAGAACACAAACCAACGGAAGTCTTGAAAACATTACAGTGCCACTAGTCATTTGCATTGCGCAAATGTCTGTAAATGCCAACCCATATAACCCTATTCAAGTTGCTTTACATATATTTATCAAGCTTCAGAACCACAATAGCGAGCGTTGGCCCTAGCTAGGTGTATGTTATTTAATTCTATAAAATCCGTGGCGTGTGGCTTATGCAGGGGAGATATGGTCAAAAAAAGATTACAAAACAAAACCAAGTCAACGCTTCCAATGCAGCTGAGTCCATGACAGCCAGAATTCCAAACTTATCGCCACTTTCGTTTGGATGGCAGTAGGGGATAGGACGTTCTACAAGCATACATCGCTAAGCGAAGTTTTTTGTAATTTGACTTATATACATGTAGCTTAGGTGTAATATCACGGTATATATAAAACAGTACAAGGGGGGAAAACCTAATATTTAGGTCACCACGCCACTGTCGCTCCATGGCTGGCTGTTGACAAATACAAAATTATGAGGCGCAGTAATTATAGGAGAGCAAGCTGTAAAGTTTACGTACTACGTATCGCGAGCACTGTGTGCAGATCCAATAGGCCACGGATATCGATGAGACTCAGCTAGCTAATATTAGAGACCCAAGTTACGCCAATGTGACACAACGACGGAGTTGCCAGCGGGAAACTATTTTGCCAGTCACAGACGACAATACTACTGCAAATAACTGAAGGTCGACATACTTGTGGCTTGGTGATAATAAATACAAGCACAACATGCTAAAACTGGCTACATGTAGTGCCTTAACTGGAGTCTCAACATACCCAGATAAACGAGTGATATATGATGATTAAAGATCACTGACTGTACTGATTCTTTTAGTTTCCCATCAAAACTCCACTAGAAAAATCAAAAGCTTTCAAGCTTAAGTCTTAAAATATTAAGAAGCAATAAGAAGTACCGTTAAAGTACTACATATAATCCACACCTTCATGACATATCACTCGTTATTATGCACTATGTAAGTAGGCGAATGTTTCGCAGTAAATGAAGGAGACACGCCATGGATAATATTTTTGAAAATCAGCTATAGTTAGATGTAGCTGTATTTTCTTACAGTGCTTGATCTCAATGATAAATTACCTACATTTGTGTGTAATCTAGCCATGGTTACACTAATATTACTACGGACTACAATTCGGCAGGGTCATAACTTATTCGGCCGCAGTGACACAGCAGAACTTTGAGAATGTGGGAAGAGACTATATGCTGGAGTGTTATACTGATGACTGGATATATCACACCAATCTATGAAGTAGTTGTAATGCAAGTTTAATCAAATGTCAGATGTCGGATGCTTTCGGTACAAGGATCATGTCTTGCTGACAATGCGTGGTCGATTATATGTAGCTAATACTGTTTTGTGTGCTACCTACCACATGTATTTAGGTGGATATATCAGCAAGAGATTTGGAATTCAACATCGGTTTATACCGCCTTTCTCTCCGGATTGGACAAAATTCAGTTTAATGTGCGTTTAAACCATAGCAGCCAGAAGCACTTGCATGGCACGCTAAATTCTGACAAACAGAGGAATGCCTTGTATGTGGAAATGACCGGCCGCGGGCCCACCCAGAGAGTTTTTTTTTTAATTCATTGATTGCATGCAACACCCAGAGAGATACATGTATATGAATATTTATCTCTACGTAATTACGTAACGACGATTGCGGCATATACAGTCAATCTGTTTTTATAACAAATATTCCGATTTGTAATAACTTAAACCATTGGGGTTAACTCTCCAATATTCTTAAATTATATAAACAGCATCTTCTATTCGAACGTACCTAAAATCTCATACTCACCAAGGACCTTTCCAAACTGATCATAAATAAAGTTCATTACACATACAAGAGGATCATTAAGCCAAACACCCTACCTGGTATCACTCACCACTAGTCCCATCATGTCCAGTGTCGGAATAAACACAATTGTCGCAGACGGACTCTCCATTTTCTACCGCACGGCCGGCTCTCCTACATCGCCCGTGATCCTCCTTCTTCATGGCTTCCCGACCTCCTCTCACCAATTCCGTCATCTCATCCCTCTACTCTCCCATAAATATTATGTGATAGCCCCAGACCTCCCCGGTTTTGGTTTCACCCAAGTTCCCGCCTCAAGAAACTACCAATACACGTTTGCCAATATCGCAACTTCAATTATAGCCTTCATAGATGCACTGAAGCTCACAAAGTTTTCGGTCTACATCTTCGACTACGGCGCCCCAACCGGCCTCCGCATCGCACTTAAACGGCCCGAGAGTATCACCGCGATAATCACCCAAAACGGAAACGCATATACAGAAGGCCTTGGAGAATTTTGGAACCAGATCAAGGAGTTCTGGGTCGAAGATACGCCACAAAAGAGGGAAGAGCTCAGCAAGGCATTGCTAACTTTTGATGCAACCAAATGGCAGTATGAGTTTGGCGTTACCGATCCTGCTAGATTGAGTGCTATCGAGCCAGAGGGTTATTATCTTGATCAGGCTTTGATGGAGCGGTCAGGGAATAAGGATATTCAATTAGGGCTATTCAAGGACTATGAGAATAACGTTGCGTTATACCCTAGATTCCAAGAGTATCTTAATGAGAAACAGCCGCCTGTACTTGCTTTGTGGGGAAAGAATGATGTGATTTTTGTGCCAGCAGGCGCGGAAGCCTTTAAAAAGGACGTGAAGAAGGTAGAGATCAAGTTCTTTGAAACAGGGCATTTTGCCCTGGAGACACATCTGAAGGAAATTTCGTTGGCTATAGTGGAATTTTTGGGGAATAATGTATAAAATCTTATCTTCAGGACTCTCAATCTAAATAAAGTAGTTAGGCGCAATATAATTCTTTTTGAAAAATATCCACTCAAGGACCCGATGATTGGATCAAGCAAGAAGTATAGAAATACATAAAAAATGCGCCAAAAGAGATATAACATGACAATGGTCAAGATATACCTTCCTCCAGCTATATCGCTTCAGTCCACTCCCGCGCCACTAGAACCGACCCCGGTTCTATAATTGCTAGAGCTCACTCTTGTATTCCCTCTTATTAATTCCGATATCATCGATAATTTTCCCCGCTGTATCCAGCGGAGCCTCCACATGACCTTCGAGCTCTAGCCACGCCGCAGTGAACGCAGTAGTAAGATATGCCCAGTCCTTAACCGTCTGCATATCCAGATGTTTGCCATCATCATTCATGGTGTGCCACACATTCGGAAATGGAATTGGGATAACGTGGAAGATCTCCACACCACGCGCTTGGAACGGGATGTGATCGTCCAATATGGAGTGCCAGTCGGCACTCGCAGCTTTCATAGGCAGGTCATAGAACCATTTTCCAGGAGAAGCTTCGTGTGAGAGAAAAAGGTTGGATTCGCGCATGCGAGTTTCAAGATCGGACATGAGATTGTATGCCCAATGAGTGGTTTTGAAGTAAGATGGGACTCTAGGGTTCTGAGAGCCGAGAAGATCGAGGAGGAGGAAGAGGTCAACGTTAGCAATCTCGTTATGGCGGCTTGACAACGCAGGATGGTGCGAAGCTTCCCAGGTCTCTGCTAAACTCCTATTTGCCAGATATATTAGTACATGTTACCGATTTTGCTATGAGGCCAAAACACACCTAGCTCCATAAAGCGAATCATCGTCTGACCAGTTATGAAAGGCTTCCTCTCCATCTAGAAATAATAACATAATTCCCTTCCTAGCAATGTCGTCGTCGTCGTCGAGATCGTCCCCTGTTTCCCCCTTCGCTTCAAGATCTGCCCACTTCCTAGTGAGAGCTGCATCAATGCTTTGTGCTATGTGTAGAAGCAATGCGCACGGGACAGCTGAGTCTGTCGCGCCAATAAAGTCCTTCGGCGTCAATTTCGAGTCGTAATGAGCGACAAGAACTAGCCGACCAACATCCCCCGGCTGTGCCCATGGGGGATCACGTGTTGCCATAAAATTGACAAAGGGAACCTCTTTTCCATTTGAGGTAGGCGTTACGGAGGAGGAGTTCTGAGTGGCAAGAGTCCATGATGGAAGCTCTGAGGTGAAAAAGTTATGGAAATGATTTAGGACTTTGAGTGATCCCTCAGTACCGGGGACGCGGGGGATTAAGATCGGAGAGAGAAGCTTTCCCGTGTTAATATCAAAATCTGCGTCTGAGGGGTTTGGCAGGAAGTTTAAAGTGTTATCTGATAGATCCTTCCACGCTGAGGCGAAAGAAGCTATGGTGAGCAATATAAAGGGTGAAATCATGATCATGATGGGCCCTAAATATCGCAACCGGAGTTGCGAACCGGAGTGCAAAGAAGAAATATCGTGGAGTCTTAATGTCCTTAGCTGGTATTCGGTTGTCTGTCTAGGTGCTTACACGAGAGACCGTTGGTTGTTAGGTGTCCTGAGCAAAGCAGGGGCCATTTGCCGATCTACGATACCTACGCGGTTAGGCCCAGGGACACAATAGTAATAAACTTACAGCTGCATGATTATACCCGATCAACATCCATAGTCCAGACAGTAAGTGACCCTTCAAGATTAGATTCTAAATCTCATCATTTTTCCATTCCAATGCCATCCCGAAACTGAATCCCAGTGCAACCTGAAGCTCTCGAGCTTATTGTGTATGGAGAAACTGGGTACATACAAGTACATTACAACGAGAACAGAGGTCTGACTGATAGGCACTCTATTGAATCAGTAGGGCACTTCGAACTCATTGGAAACTTACTTTACGTAGATCATAACGACCGCCTCCTAATCTCCTAGAAATCATCTTTAATTGATTTCACTCCTGCAAAATTAAGGATGCGCTGCATAAAATCAAATACAACAAGAGCTATCAATAATGATCATAAGCCTAGAGTTAGTTATGAGTTATAGGGCAATGCCATCCCCTAACCCTATCCACAGTTCATGAATAAGCGGCGGCCTATCAAGATTGAGGTCATGCGGGGTGAAACTGGATTGTTTGTTCACCGAGAAACATGTAGATCGATGGAATTGTAAGTTGATATTAAATCCAGAACTTGGCGCATAAATATCCTACTGAACATCTTCCCTTTTATTTTATTACTATTTAGAATTGCCCCCTACTTTGTAACAATAGTGATGACATCCTCGTCAGCGACGACATGCCCCAGACCTACTCTCTGTGGGACATGTCTTGCGCTTGCGCCCCAAACAAGAGCGTACTTGAAGCTCTCCTTCAATGTCCTATGCACCTGGTCGCAGACATCCTCGACAGTAGAATCCTGCCTCACAATGAGGGCCTCAGAAAAATCAGGTTCTACACCTTTGCGTTTGGTGTATATCCGCATCAGGTTCAGCTCCTTCCAGGCGCGTTCAACAACGTCGCTGATACCGAGATCAAGCTCGCAGGACATGACGACGGTATGGTCTTCGTGAGCGAGTTGGTCGAGGAATTCCATGCTGATACAGTCGATCTTGTTGTATACATAAAGGCTAAGGAAATTAGTATCGGTATTTTGGGGAGTTTTAGTGGTATTACCATTTAATGTATTTTCGATTGGCCTCCATGATCACATCAATAAAATCGTCAACAGTGGCTTTTATACGTTAGTATTTTTTTTTTTTTTGAAATATCAGCTAGTAGTGGGTGGATGTACGCACCATCTTCATCTCTAACTAAGACCTCGCAATTGAGCATTTTGTAATCCCTTAGGATATTGTAAATCATCTGTCCGTTCATCAGCAAGACTTCTCTTCTAGCGCATAAGATTCCACTCTCACCTTCTCATCCAAATTCTTTGGCGTGCTCATAAAATTAATCTTCATGCCTCCGGCTTTCTTTTGTTTCAGGTAGATATTTGGTCTTTGCCTGTTAAGCCTAATACCCACCGCCTCTAGTTCGGCCTCTAAGAGGGCCCTTTGCTCTGCCTTCTTCGTCGCATCCAAGACCATCATGATCAAGTCGCTCGTCTTCGCCGCCGAGATAACTTGTCGCCCTCTACCCTTGCCTTCGGAGGCCCCCTCGATGATACCCGGTAAATCCAGAATCTGAATCTCTGCACCCCCATATTCCAAAACTCCCGGAATAGCCGTAAGAGTCGTAAAAGAGTATGCCGCAACTTCAGATTTCGTCTTCGTGATCTTCGACAGCAGGGTTGACTTTCCGACGGAAGGAAATCCAACGAGCGCAATACGTGCATCTAAACCCTCGTATATGGTAAGTTACAACTCTATCTGCACATAAAGAATAAGTTGAACAGACCCCCGCTCTTAGAAACGTCGAAACCCGTTCCCGCTCCCGCGCCAGCTCCGGGAGCGGGTTCGAGAAGTTGCGCACGTAGACGCGCAAGCTTTCCCTTGAGGAGACCGAGATGGTATTCGGTGGCTTTGTTTTTTCTGCAAACGAGAAAGCGCGGGTCGTTAGCCTACCTTTTCGCAGTTTTACGATTATCGAAGTGTGCAATGGTGTGTCTTAATTACTGAGTCCGCCGCATCTCCTCCTCAATTTCTTTAATCTTTTCGCTGACACCCATTGTGAGTTTAAGCTCGTGGTATTATTCGGAAAGAGGTTTCTGGGTTTCCTGGGTTTCCTGGGTCTATGGAGTGATATAGGTTTGGCGTTTGCGAATAGCAAAGTTGAGGCTCGGAATTGGTTAGATGTAGCGCGGGGTTGACCGTTGGAGAGTGGTCCGTGCAACTGAGGTTAGGTTCTTGATCTTGGCAACTCATGCATCAAGAATTGAATGACCATACATACCTCCGGCGCCGAGTCGAATTCCGTATGCAGTAGCTCTAGTTCCTATTGCTCGTAGAGAAACATCATCTCCTGGCCCTAATCTCAGGCCACCTTGGTTCAATATTGGCCAGTCAAAACTGGAAAAACCGCACTAACCCATCTGTAAATTAAAGAGTGTGTTTCCATTGTTGGATTATATACAATTAACGTCTAGGGGCTGGCCTGGTTTTACCACCGCGAAGAGTGACTAACGGTCTAGATATACTGGTATCAATGATGGATCCGTAACTTTCGAAAAGATACGATTGTAAATTTATAGATTATAATTTACGTTCCTTCATTTATAGTTGCCCCTGCCCCAAAACTGATCACTATGATCAACTATTCCTTTTTGTTTGTCGCGTAGCTCCGAGTCTCTTTAATACTAAATTCGGGTATAGACCCAGTAAACCAAAAACCCCTTTCCTCGTAATAGGATGACCGTCTAGCTCCTTTTATAGTAAAAATTATAATTCGAAGACTTGTTAGAAGCCGATGCATGTAGTTGCAATATACAAGTTCGATGAGGGTTGTATTACGTAGATTAATTGCCTGGTCATCCTACATGTAATTACATCTATCAAGATGTGCTTCTTTACTGTAATTACATGTATTTAGTAAAAAATATATATGATCTGGATGAGCTGGAGAAATATTTCACAATCGAAAGCATTCACCACACACATATATAGGCAGGAGCAAAGTACAAAGTATCCGGCTCGATAATCGAAAATATATAGGCAATCTGGGTTCATGGCATTAGAGCCTGCAGAAAGAAAAGCCGGCAGTAGAGAAATGCATGACGGCTGGCCATCATACAAACAGGGACATGGCCCATCAAATCATTTGATATATATTCGACTAGTTTCCCTTACGGAACCGTTCTTCCTAATTACCACACTCACGTGCTCAAGTTGAAATATCTGAAAAAAGATATTCACAGTCCTAAAGGTGACTCCCTAGCTAGCGTATGAATGGGAACACGATGTGTGTGTTCACGGTCTGTGACGAGCCCTAGTTCAATCGTATATTCCGCTCTGTATGGTCCTAGACTTCTAGATTGATGGCCTTTCCGAATTTCGCATATAGCTTCACCTTTAATTCCCCCATGATTTCATCGTTCCTCTCAATTTTTTCCTCTAGAGCCTCGATCTCCTTAGCGATATCCTGTGCCGACTTCTCGAGTAGCTGCTGAACTTCCTCGAGTGGGAGGTGTAAGAATGAATCGCCGATTTTGTAGCTATTTGGTTCACATCAGAATCACAGGGTAAAACTGGAAATTATAAGGGTAGATAGCCAACGTACGGTATCATATCATCTTCGTCGGCAAGTTCAAGCTCACTAGTCACGTCGTCGATGTATTCCTTCTCTTGCTATACACAACCACACCCATTAGATACCAGGATAGAACCGAATAGCGCAGGGCGGGGAAGAAATTCACATTCTTCTTCTCAAGCTCCTCCTTTAATATTCCTTGTTTCTGATGGAGAGTGGAGAATTTGTTGATGTTGTTTTGGTCCTCCCGGGTCACGACTGTGTCCGTCTGGGCCTCATCTTCTCGGGAAAGCTGGCGGAGCGCGGTCGTCAGCTTGGAGCGAGAAGACACGAGGTAGAGCGGGAGGGATAAGTACCATGCGTCGATCCATCGTGGCTTTATGGGGTGTTGGAGAGCGGAAGTGGGGGGGGGATGGATGAGGCTCTTTGGTGGGGTTGTTGGTGTTAGTTAATTGGCGCGCACGGACCACCATGATTCAAAATGCTAGACTAGCGGGAGAGCTACATGACATGTAGTCACCCGCTATCACTCGCTTTAAGCTTTTGAAAATGATAATTCAGGAATAGAAACCAGAGGTAACTTTTCTCAGTAGCAATAATTTGCTGTCAACTCTATTAATATCATCAATTTACTTTGTGGAGAAAAAATGAATACATGTGTGGATTCTGTCTAGAATCACATGTTAACGCAGATAGCGGTGCGCGAGGTCTCATCTGGTGTTCTCAGAAGAAATACAAATTTACACCTAGTACAAGTACATGTAGCTAGCAAGTGAAAAATCTAAATTGTGATAATTATAAGGTGTTCCCCGATTCATGACTGATGAGGCTTAATGAAGACCATACCTGGGACGAAGAATGTTTATATATGCACGTTTTAACTCGGGCCTGAAATTAACTTTATCGGACGTTTTGGTATTTCCGGCTGTTGATGAATTCAGAAGACCTAATACAACAGGCTGCCATGTTCGAGTGCTCTATCTCTGCGGGGACCTGTCCGTCCGATATGGAAGGAAGCTCTTAATACAGCGCACTCAATGGTTTTATGTAGTGGTTACATGTAATTGTACCTACATGTAGTATGTACAAGTATACGTATAGTCTGTTGGGGTACCTGCAAGTATGTGTAACCGGCTAATCTCTATATCTCAAAACCAGACATCCTCAATGTCTAATACCACTTTTGACGACAGTGTCATACTTGAAGTTTCTAATCACTTTCATATACGTCTCCACACCCGGAGTACTCTTTAAAGTCTTCCTTAATCCCACCGGAGAAAGCATCTTTGACTTACGACACGTGTCATTCACAGAGATACCTACTTTGTATGACGACGCCTAGAACCAGGAAGATGCAGTTCTCGTATCCTTACGCACACCCACAATTACAAATCCTAGTAACCAGCATTGGCGCCTTGTGGATATGCCCACTCTTTTTGATAGCCACACCTATATAATTGGGGTGGCGTGGCTTTTAGACCGTGACTCCCACCTCCGGATGATCAAGGTATTCCAGCGTGAGTGATACCCAGTGATGCGTGTTGCGTGTTATCACCACAAAAATCAATACATGAAAATACGAAATGCCAAGTTTCTTTCAACAGGACATGTATCTAACCGTAGTAACCTGGCTCCAGTCTTACCAGTCAGTAATACATGTGGTTCGGTTCTCCAAACAAATCACATGCTTTAAACAGAATTTCGGGTTTCTTTGGGTCCGATAGGAAGCTCGCACACCCCACTTCTAGCTTCGGAATGTTGTGTTTCCGTTTCTTCCGGCCGAGTAAGAGAAAACACATGACGCGGCGTCTGCAAGCGGATGTTGACAACTAATTCCACTCCACTTCCATGGGTCCACGGAGGGGTCCTTAACGTTCCGATTCCGTTCCTGTTGATTTATAAACTTTCCATACTCAACTGCAAATATTCGTAGGGAAAGGGATGAATTTAATCAGAGTGGATATCTTGGGTAATAGTCCTCTATTCCTTCCGATTCTAGATACATATAAAACGTAATATTTTTGACTAGTTACCGTTAAGACCCTAATCTTCGCATCCCACAAGAAAATTAAAGTGTATAATAATTGCCTCGATCCATTATTATGGGAGGTCGGCAATTTCTAATGTTATACTCTAGGCATTAAACCGAAAATCATATAGACAGAGAAGAAAAACGAGTGCGGAAACAATTACAAAAAGCCGTGTTCGTCATTAGTACAAAACCACAAAAAAGCAGACGCCGCAATTGCCGTCGCATGATGTCCATTACTCCCACCCTGTGCTTGACATGTCACCCGGGTGCAGGTACGCCCGAATCCATTGCATTCTCTACTGAGTTTTGGAACGCACTTTTTTACTCCTCCTTCAAAGGAGCGGGGCCACCATACATCAACTCCGTTCCGAAGACTTTGTCCCAAATCTTCGAAGTGACGCCAAATCCCTTCTGGTAGTCGGCAAAGTGATGTTGGAGATGGTACTTCTTCAGTTCCTTGTAGTATGACGGGAGGCTAGGAGAGTATGTTAGCTATAGCTGTAATAATGGTATTTCCGTATGTAGACGTTTACTTACGATTTATGGTGCAAAAAGTAATGGGTCAGATCGTAACAAACATATCCGAAGATACCACCACAGAAAACACTGACGGCCACGTTCCAGTCCCAGAAGAACACAAAGTGCGCTAAATGCCAAAATGGTGTCGCGAGTACAACAAACAATGTTGGAGGCATAACAAGACGAAGTTTGTCCATCGGAAGAAAGTGATGAACTCCATGAAGCAGGAAATGCATCGTAATGCATACACGGTTATCTGGCATTTTTCTGCATGGAAAATTAATTGTTAGTAGAGTCCTTGGTAAAGTGGGAATCGCAAAGATTATAGGATAAAACATACTCATCCAAGTGAAACAGGCATCGATGTAGCACATATTCGATCAATGTCCAAAGCGCAAGCCCAACCGAAAAAAACGCAGCCTGGACACCATAATTTGGCAATCCCTTGTGCGCTTCAAAAACTCCATAACAGATACAAGGTAACCAAACCATTGGTACAACCCACCATGGAGTTTTGCTGAGTGGTTCTAACACATTCCCGAAGATAGGCGCTGACTCTCCACCTTTGTAATGACGTGGTCTATGCACCTGCTGGAGGTAAAATTCCTTGGAAAACCCACCAGACCATACTTGCATCAGCAGCGGCCGATTTAAGTCGAGGAATTTATGCTTTTTGTAATCAGCAGAAATGTCGGTTGGTATTGAGAGTTCCTCTTCGCTGGACATGCCAGTTAAGGGACTTGGTGATCCAGCCCTTGGTGTTGCGCCTCTGAGAGGAGTGCCAGGGGGAGATGGAGGCATTCTGTTTGTCTCTGTTGGGAGGAGGCCAATAAGGTAATCATCCAATATTTCGTAGGCGGCTTCTGAATGAGTGTGGGAAATCTCGTCCGCCAGGATCGCCGCGATATCTTTGCCCGCATAACTACAATCGCAATTGTCAGCTGGGGTGGACAGATTCAAAGGAGTTCTGTTGGCGAAGCCTTGTTGAGGTAGACCTACTCAATAATCAAGTCTTCACCACCTGGATGGTCGCTTAAGAATGGGGTAATGTCGTAGACCCTGTTTCCAATTGTAACGTAGCATGACTTTGAGGATTTGTGTTTCTCAAGCTCGGCGATCGAGATAACGGGAAGACTTGAGTAGGACATGGTTGGGGGAAAGTTCGGGGGTGGTGATGACAGATAGATAGAGGAAAAGGGAAAGCTTAGAAGAGGGTTATGGGTGGAGATAAAGTATTTATCGCAGCCAGCATCAACAGAGAAAGGGGTGGGTTAGGGGGAGGATTATGAAATTTGCTGTGGCGTGACCGAGCACCATAAAGCAGCTGATTCAGCCACACCACCCTCCCCCACGGTAAATACCACCGAAATCTCCCCCGAAAACCTTCTCACTGTGTTGGTTCTAATATGTTGCCTGGTATATTGAGTAATAAATTGACGTGGAATTTCAATGTTAACGCGGCATAACATCATGAGGCATCTGCAGAGCTTTCCCATGCTACTTGTATTGTTCACCGGTCAGCCTCAACATTGTAAATTTCGGAATACTCCGTTAGATTTGGCAATGTTTCAAGAAGGTGGCCGTTGCCGCGGGAAGATCTTTGCTTCTTCTTTTGCTTCTGCTTCTCTTCCCCCGTGCCCACTACAGTAAATTATGTTCTCTCTATATACGGTGTTCCGATCCCGACCTAACGAGAGAATATTGAAATTCTCCACGTAATTATACTGAACGGAATAGTCCAATATCTAAGGCCACTTATCTGGTGAGATTGGCTTGACATGCCTAAATTTGGTGAGACTGGATAACTACATAAATGTGTGTAGCAGGTACATGTAGGTACTCGAGTTCACACACAGTAATGAGCATAGACTGCAGAAGCTATGGCCTAAGCCCACTTATCTAACTTAGGCACAAGGGACTCGGATGTCTACAAATACCAATATTAATGTTTCCTATTGTACTCCTGCAGTTAGGATCGCATTACCCCCTTAAAAACCTTCTTTGAGGGCGTGTGCTTAGATACACCCTCACTAGAGTACACATACCCTAGTACTTGCATGTATTGTCCACTAGGCTGATGGGCATAGCTTGGGCAAATCAAGAAACTACACATGTAAATCACAAGTAGATGGGTTGCTGACTACATGTACATGTGTGTAGAGTAGTACATGCACTTTTCGGGAACTTTCCTGGAGATGTATGAACGCACCTAGAGCATGTTGTTGTTTTTATATGTGCCCTAGGACCATACGTAATACTTACATGTATGTACATACATACAGTAACTACATGTAGCCTACCCCACATTAAAATTCATTTCTCCAGCCGTGTGTCTAAGTTCTATTAAAGAAAATGTATGGAGAAATTTAACTCATGTATGTTTATCGCGAGTGCTGGCTTATGATCTTTATAAATATACTTGATCAAATCTGATAAGATTGTGGTTGCCTCCTGTAACTCCCTCGTTGCCATAGCAAACAAATGCGTCTTCCACATACAACAATTGTGTAAGGAACAACGTCTCGAGTGTCCACACGATTCAAACAGGAGTAAATTTTGGTCGATATTTTTGGAACCAGGAATCAATGGGTATTACAGGGTATGCCATAGCAGTTCTTATGCATCCTCCGAAAGAAAGGTCGCATACTGATCCCCCAAAACAACAGACTTTATAGCGAGCTCGGGCCTGGAGAACGCATTTCATTAGCAAAAGTCGCTTCAGACCACTTCGAAGCTACGGGTAGACGTTTACGACTTGCGGTTGATGCGTCAATCTGGTCCTTTCAAGTTCAGTCTGGAAAAGGTACATTTGTTTTTGGCATGCAATGCATCTCCCCGAAAAAGCGCAAAAACTGACATAAGAGCAACCAATAAGGCGGAACAAACCCAGCTCTTAGAACGCTTTACTACCGCCTCCTCCGCCTATACCAACTAAACATAACTCCCCTTTTTGTGTTCGATGGTCGCAAACGCCCCGTTTTCAAACGGAACCACAAGACAAATACACAAGTGATACCGTCCTTGCAGAAAAATACCAAATCATACTTAAAGCTATTTGGATTCCCATATCATGACGCTCCAGGAGAAGCAGAAGCAGAATGTGCGCTCCTACAACGACATGGCGTTGTTGATGCCGTTATGAGCGAAGATGTGGACACTTTGATGTTTGGTTGTGGAATTACCTTCCGAAACTGGTCAAGCGAGGGAAAGGCGGGTAAGTCGACGCCCACACATATCACGGTGTATAATAGTGAAACTGTCCAGTTGGAGAGCGGTCTCACGCCGAAAGGAATGATACTGGTCGCACTGATGAGCGGTGGGGATTATATACCTGAAGGCGTACCAAAATGTGGAATCAGGACCGCAGTGGAGGCCGCGAAGGCAGGGTTCGGGGAGGAGCTTTGCAACCTCGAAGAAGATGACGAAGATGGCTTCAGAGAATGGAGAGAGCGGCTATCATTCGAACTCGAGACGAATAAAAGTGGATTGTTCCGGAGGAAGAATAAAGTGATCAAAATTCCGGAAGATTTTCCGGATAGGATGGTGTTAGGTTATTACACGAATCCTGCGGTTTCAAGCGAGGAAGCTGTGGAAAAGTTAAGAAGAAAAATCGTATGGGACGGGAATGTGGATTTGTTTCGACTGCGGGAGTCAGTCAGATATGCATTTGAGTGGAAAGGAAAAGGCGGCGCTGCTGCGTTTGTCAGGACGCTTGCGCCAGCAATACTGTCAAGGAGACTTGCTGATGGGGAGGGCGGAGCCGAGCTCAACACTATTGTAAAAGGCTTTCATGGGGGCGGGAGCATTCCTCAACTGGTGGGCTGAAGGAATTACGAGTCTCTTTCATACCAGGGGAAGTCATTAAAATCGACATGGATGCAGAGGAGGAAGATGAAGTATCAGAGCAGGAGGAAGACGAAGATCCAGATGAGGACGGCGTGAGAAAGCGAAAAGATTACGATATTTTCGCCACAGAGAGAGTATGGATTCAGGAGTTATTTGTTCGGCAAAGTCTCAGTGAGCGGATTGAAGAATGGGAAACTCCTAAGATTTCTGGTCCAAAAGCACCTAAGAAAGCTCCGACAAAGACCAAAGCTAAACCTAAGGAGGGGACTGCATCAGGGTCTATTCTGAAATATATGAGTGTTTCAAAACCCAACGACATGGAAAAGCCCAGAGGAAAAAAACCGGAAATTAGAATCTGCGAGGATTTGGATGCCCTTACATTCACTGAATCACAAAGGTCTTGTGATGCGTCTGGACCAGAGGAACCCTTTGCTGAACGCAGGCGTAGTCGTTCAATCACTCGGAAATGTGTTGTTGAAGGGCTGGGGCCGAGGAAAACGGCTGAGGGTTCCAGCTCTAAAACTTCAAAGCCCCAAAAGAAGCCTACAAAATGCCAGCGAGAGGAGAGTTCTGAGGGATCTGATGGAGATTACTCAAATCTCCGAAGAGCTTGCAGTACGCCTTCCGCCATTGAGGATGCGCAACCACCTCTAGATCATCACTCTTCTATACATATACTTGAGGACTCATTGCCGGAGCCTTTGTATGACTTGCCTTGCCCGTCACGTTCTTATTCACCACCATCATCATTGGCACCTCGAACCCGCCTAACATACGAGACAATAACGATTGAATCATCACCAGCTCCTGCTCCTGACATTGACGATTTATGTACCAATAATTCACCGCCCAATACACCCACCAAGAGATATAGATCATCTGGTATCACAGAGGCCCCACCGCGATCAAGCACACAAACTCAAGAATATGAAATGCCCGAAATAAGGACGCCTTCACCAGATAGATTTTCTAACATAGAATTATCTCCGCCACATACACCAACGGCTGAGTTTGGACGTCTCCAGGTAGTGGACTTAGTTGGAGATGATGAATATGATGTCGGCGAGAAAACCATAGACAGTACTCTCGACTTTTCGCCGTCCGCCCATTTAAGCCCAAATATCACTACAAAGCGGAAAGGAAGGAAAGTGAAAACGAAAGATCTCGAGCAACAGTCACCAGAGATTCTCAAAGAGAAGAAGAAGAAATATATCCTCACTTCCCCCGTTCCATTTCCGATTCCTGTTGCACGTTGTCATCGCCCTACCTCACCTTTGAGGAGGGTTTTTTCCGCTTCTGATACGGCAGATATCGTCACCTCTCCCATAGAGACAGTGGATGCCCCCCCAGTGGAAGCTCAAGATGAGCATGCTAGTTTTTATCCTCCTTCTAAAGAAATAACAACGCAAACTGGAGCGGATATTGTAAATAGGAACTCGGATATCATCACAGGTACTGATGTTTCCATAGAAATAACGCAAGATATTCAAGTGGAAATATTAGACGACGAGTTGGACATCACCGCCGCTCCCGTTGCTCGTAAGAAGACAACGCAAGAAGCCAGACGAAGCGTGGCAAGCAAAATAACATGCAGCGAAGGCGCTACTGCGTCCACGAAATTGGAAAAAGGGCCCGTTGTGGCTAATGGCAAGACTACTAAAAGGATTGCATTGAGAGAAAGTCTGGATGGTCATTGGGAGTTCATCGAAGATGATTGGAGCATCCGTGAAGGAAAGACGCTGTGGGAGGATGTGGACGTTGTAGACCTGACGGGTGATGATTAAACTCATAATCTTTATAGGCTATTTAGAGGTAGTTGGGAGTTTTGGTTTGTTTATGCTGGCTTTTTTCTTTTTCTTTTGTTTTTAACAGGGTATTGTGGGATTAAATCTCTAGGTAACGTTTTGTGAAATCTGAAAGTGTATCAGAAGAAAACCCTTCCAATCTACATGTAGTCTTGAGAGAGATATTTTCCATGACCTTCCACTACTGGTTATATCCTGAAGAGGAATAAATGTATATTATGTATATACTGTAAAGAGTAAGCCATGTTCTATCATGACAAAGTGGAGTTCACCAATCGAGTTTGCATATAGGATGTATACGCATATGCATGTATATTAGAACCTGCCGTCGGTTATGCTTTAAGAAATGGACTCCGTGTGAACTCCGGCTTTTACAGGACTTGACCCGTCCCATTTATAAGGACCGAAAGTGAGATTGATGGTATCTATAATTCGGTAATCTAAATCTATGCTATAAATCTTAACGCTGAACAGATAGCATGCCGAGAATTAAGCCCCGGTGAAATTGATAGTTCGAGTATTTTGTGCTAAAAAGCTCTCAATTAATTTTCGTGTTTATGATGATGGGGAAGCTGTGCCCATGGCCATAGCGATTGTAATATTAACTATTACAATCACCTCCCATATCTCAAACAATCTCTATTTAACCTTCTTGACCTCCTCACTGCCATTTATCTTCTGCCCCTCCCCTTCCTTCTCCTTCTCCAGTGCCTCCGCTTTTTTTTATCGCCTCAACCTCCTTGATAAACCACGTAATGGCCGCCCATAGGCCCCGCAGATGAGGCTTAAAAATACGAAGTGTCCGCTTTCCGTGGCCACAAGAAGGGCAAGTAATACCACTTGAAGTAGTGCAAAGGATATATGGGTTGCGATGACAAGAGACTTATTGGTACCGGGCTCAAATACGGAAAGCCATATATCTGAGAAGAAGCTAGCCATTATCGTTGGTATGAGTATTGAGAGTTGTGAGTGAGTCGTGGAAGGTGTAAAAGTTTTAGGATAGTATTCTACTCTATGGAGAGCTTGGTTCTACCAGTTCGAGTGAATGCGAAGGTTTAGGTGTTTGAGCGAGTGTTGATATTACAAACTTCAGGGGAACAGATTTGGTAAGGGAGGAATTTGAGGATATCTGTCAAAGCCGGGTAATCAGGGTAGAGTACCTGCAGTTCAAAGCCACACTAATGTTATGTAATTAACAGTGGGGAAAGTCTCCACACAAAAACTTCCCCTCCAGCTAGCTGATCACCCACCAGGTAGTAGATAAGCTGATATGATAGGTTTCACCAAAGAAGACCTAGACTGAACTAACATAAATTTTATAATTTGGGTCATAAACGTGCCAATACGCATCGGGATATATCTGCATAATGAATAATTAATTGGCCGTTATATATTGGCTGTAGGGCTTGGTATGGTTGAATCCCATGCCTAGTTTGATTTAGACGTAAAATATTTAAATCAGATATTTAGCGTATAATTTGAAGGTATAGTATTAATAAAAAGGTATGTGTATTTACCAGAACTTTTTAATTCGGTTCTCTATCAGATAGTACTAGTCTTTCGCATGGTTCGCGAAACAGATTGGGACCCTGATTGGCTGAGCCTTTGCCTTCTTGTAAGTAATTACTACAAACGTACTAGGCCAGTTCAAGTGATGGCCGGGGCTTTCTTTGGTATTTTTTTGAGTCATACTACATAAAAATCTATCGTATTAGCAATAGACATATATGCATCGTATAGTTATATAAATATCTATGCTTATGTGTGTATGCTAATTGAGTAGAGGGTCTGATTCATACCTATTAGTAAAACCCATTGGATATTTAATCTTGACAGCCTTAGCTGGACATACCTGTGATAGCGATGGATACAATATAGCCAGTTGACCAGAGAATGTGGATGATAAGATCCCAATGCTAGAGCTCTATTCCTTGTCAATTTTGTTTTCGTCGCTTTCCTCCTCTTTCATTCTCCCTTGCCAAAACCCCTTCCCATAGCTTACGCACAGCTCGACGCCCTTCTTGATATCCTTACTACCGACCCACAATGCCATCCTCAGCTCCCCGTTCTCACTGTCACCAACTCGCCTGGTCTCAAATACCACATTTGGCCTTTCAAAACCTGGCACACCTCGATAGTCATTGACCATTCTTGCCTCATTTCCCGCATTTTGGGCGTCTACACCAACACCTAACTCCCGGTCAAGACAGAGATCATAATCAGACTTTTCATTCGTGTCCGTTGAATCATGGACATAGCCTAGGTAGTCGAGGATGAATGACTTTGCGGGCAGATTCGAAGCAGCAAAGAGACCAAATTGGCCATTGGCCGGGTGCGTAGGAGCATCGATCTTCTTGATTTTGACGAGTGGACTGGGTCGTGATATTGAAGTAGGTAATGTGGGGGAGAGGCCTAATTGTGAGATCGATGGTGCAGGTAAGGATTTTGATAGTTTTGGGCGATAGATATATAATATCTCAGAGGGCCAGTTTGAGGGCACTTTTGGGCGGGAAACGGCTCGGCGTTGGTCCTGTTTCTGTTGTTTTACAGATTTCTGGGACCTTGGCTTTTGACTGGAGCCTTTAGATGGCATTTTCGGATTTGGTATTGATTTTGTGTGGAGGTATATATCACGGTAATGTGCCCTTGGTTTTTGGCTAGGTACCTATTTCTGTCCTGAGTGAAACAAAGAATCGGAACGGCCCAACACTGCGTGACGGTGACAGTGTCCGCGAGGTATAAATTTTTTGGTTATAACTGAGATCGGAAGGCAGTCAGCCCAATGAAAGTATGTACCTGTAAGAATATCTGTCCATATCTTCATGACTTACGATCGCCGACCGCAACATCGATAAGGGTGGTACGTGCAGATGAGGTTGAGGTTTCGTTCATGCGCCACACAAGTGCGCAGAAAGCAGAAAGGCACAACGCGACAAAGGAACCTGATAGGAGGATCTAGCGCCACATTGTCCATCTAAGTGACCCCAACAGTCAGGAATGTACCAGTGACAAGAATCAAAAAGGTTGATTCATATAGTTAGATGTATGTTGATATGTCGATCAGCTACTGTAGAATGCTACATAGTATTCTTCCCCTTTATCCTCCTTACAAGTCTCTAATAATTTAAAGCTGATCCAGTTGCAGAAAAACATACACGCACGCTGAACCACACCCTTGACACAACCCCTTGCAGGCCACTTCACTAGCCGGACAGCAGCCTGAGAGCAAAGCCACAGTTGTTACCAAGTAGGAACGATTCTCACACCCACAAACCTATGCCACCAACCCCGCCGCCGACTATTGAAAGCAACACTGAGCAACATCAGCAGGAGCAGCGGTTGCCCGACGTGAACTACCCCGACGCCCGCAATCTTCAACCGCTGCCCGACTCGCCCACATACCCGACAACGACGACTCAGCCACAGAAGAAAAACGACGACGTAGAAAACCCGCGCTTCGACTTCCCCTTGCCGCCACGCGCCAGGGCGACTGACACGCAACAGACGCTGGATACCCGCCAGAAAATAGACTGCAAGGCAGCGCTCGTCGACAACAACGACGAAAACAACCAAGTGCCTCTCAAGAAGGCTCCCATCTCCATCACCTTGCCTCCACAACCACATTCACTACCACCCCAGATATCAGCAGCCTTCACTAGTGTTGCTGCTACTGCTGTCGACATCGTTAATACTGCCACAGCCGTCACCGAGCCCTCCGCAAAGATACTGCCACTATCAGAACAGCCTAGTGAAGTTGTAGAGCCGCCGCTCGAAGTCGGCGAGTGCAAGGCCGACGAACCAGAGTACGATCTTGAACTACTAAAAAGCACAGTTTATAGACGTAGTGGAGCAACTGCCGCTCGCGGACCCCTCGTTCATCGAGGAATTGGGATTGTCAAGAGAGATCGAACCGCGCTGCCGGGAGTAAAAGGAGAAAGTAGTCGGGCCGGCATTGCTGCTACTTCTGCTACCCCCGGTAGTGGAAGACTGAAGGAGGACGAATTGGCGGGAAGATACGGTGCGTTATCCTGGTTGCTACCCTGCTACCTAGCTGCCCCTCCTTGCCCCATCTATCCATACATATACATGTATCCTATCCCCCCCTCACCGTCCCCCACATCTCTCTACCCCCCCCCCCCCCTTTTTTTTCGCGTGTGGTTATGAACTTTCCCGCTAGGCTTTCGCCATATCAAGGCTGACATGTATCGCCCGTGTGTGCTTATCTTAATCTGGCTGTAGCCCAACCCCGTTCCCCTCCTCTCTCCTCCCAGAACCCCCCGACTTCTTCTAACGCTCCACCACCGCCGGCCTCTCCCATACATTCTCACTCACAACACTCCTCGGATCAGTCGGCCTCCGAAGAGGAGGAAGAGCACTCCGAAGAGGAAGAAGAAGAGGAGGAAGAAGAAGACGATATGGAGGATGAAGAGTCTTGGATCAGCGGCTTTTGCAACATGGTTGGACACGAATATTTTGCTGAAGTCAGCGAAGAGTTCATTGAAGATGATTTCAATCTGACAGGACTCGGTGCTATGGTCCCTATGTGAGTTACTCTCTATATGCATCCTCCCGAAGACTCGTCTTTACCAGATCTACCCACTACATCGTTTACCCGACTAGTTGTTTTCATCCATTGCCTGTATCCACACCATGAATTAAGCTAAGCCCCTGCTCTTACAGGTATAAGGAAGCTCTTGAAATGATTCTTGATGTAGAGCCTGAAGACGACTCTGACTCCGCTGCATCCGCATCTGAGTCACTGTCTGAACAGCCTGGCGCTCCGCCCACCTACCGTCGTCGCGCCGGTCATATGCGAGTCGCCTCGGATGTCTCCATGATCGAGAACTCTGCAGAACTTCTCTACGGCCTCATTCATCAAAGATTCATCACCTCGCGACAAGGTATCCAGGTCATGTACGAAAAATACCTTTCAAACCATTTCGGCTTCTGTCAGCGGGTATTCTGCAATAATGCGCGTGTCCTTCCTTGTGGATATTCCGACACTCCCGGTGTGGAAACAGTAAAGCTTTTCTGTCCATCCTGCTGTGACATCTATGTACCACCTAATTCGCGTTTCCAAACTGTTGATGGGGCATATTTCGGCACAACATTTGCATCGCTTTTTCTAATGACCTTCCCGGAACTTGATGTATCTGGCAACGGTCGCAAGGAAATAATATCAGGCTCGTCCCTCAACTCTGTAGGCGGCAGAAAAGGCACAAGCAGTGCCAATGCCCCATTAATTAACGGAGTATTGGCATCGAACCTCGCGCCAGGTCTTGGGAAGGGCAAACAGTATGAGATGCGAATATACGGCTTCCGGGTTTCGGAACGTGCGAGAAGCGGCCCCAGGATGGGATGGTTGCGAGCCAAACCCGAACAAATGAGCGACCTCGATGAAACCACCCGGCATACAGAGGCTACGGTAGATGCAGGATATAGCAGTGATGGCGAAGGGCCGGAAGAAAGCGATGGTGATGAGGGAAGCGTAGGCGAAGACGATATCAATGCTGTATGATCGACTCCGGGTAGGAATGAAGGGGGGTGCAAACCAAAGGGTAGAGGTGGTGCGAGATGAACGAGGAAGAAACTAAAGATATTAAGGGCGATTGCAATAGTTTGCGTGGCATTTGGATTACGCCCAGAAGACAGAGGGGAGGCATCAGATGTAGTGCATCATTCTATTCTTCTTATTTGACCCTCCTCTTTCTCTTTCCCCTGTACTTGTTTTCTTTTGTGGCTTTGTTGCGATGGTTTAGCGTATGATGATCAACTAGAAGCGTACGCGCAGATTTATTCATCATGAGGGCTGGTAAAGAGAAGGCGAGGGTGAGCTGAGGGATAAAATGCAAAACTTCAGTAAAAAATCAATAGTGTTGATATAACGAGGTACTTAGTTAGTGTTAGAGATATGACTTTTCTTTTGATCTATGTTTTTTCTTGCTTTTAATTCGGGTTGATGTATATACACTATATCTGGTTTGGTGGCTAAGTATCATTCAACATATTCATATTGTTTCTATCTATTTTTCGGCGGTCAACATCTATAGTAATGATATAGAGCTTCAAAGCCACAATGGTAAAGGTGTTACTGGCACTTGACATTATGTTAGGTAGTACTCACAACGCGCATGATATGAGCACGTAGAGTGACACCTACATGTACAGCGTGAGGTAAAATTATTGTAGAAGTATGAGAAGAGTCCTATTGGCTTGCCCAGCCATAGAAGCCCTGTTTTTAGACCCCTGTTTCTACAATAATTTCCCCCCTCGCTGTAGATCACTGGCAGCAAGGGACTTTCCTCGATATCTTGGTTCAAAGGGACAAAACCATATATACTACTACATTACACCTGTCCTTATCGGTATGGTCACGTTACGCCTAACATACAAACGAGTGAGATATAATGACTTCAACGATTCAATTATCCCCTCGACTGTCAGTTAAGCTGCCACCCCGAGAAAAAGCAAATCTGTGTGGCTTTCCTAACAGATCTTGTTATCTCCCCTTATCAAATAACAGATCTCCCATACAAATTTGGTCCCTCTATTATAGTGTGGCAGCTTTAATAGACGAAGGGATAATCTCGATTTTCTTGGAAGCGGGCTTTAGCATGGCTATCCTAAAATACCCTACATACATGTACTCGCACGTTAATTATGTATTTGCCCAACCAGCAAAACACACCAAAAATCGAGGTTTTCAACAACTCATAAAAAGTCCCACACCTAAACCAAAATATCAATGACCAAGTATAGTATAATTTTGATAAAGGAGGTCCATGCTTCAAATTCTTGGCCCAATTGAGATACTGGTAAAGGTGCCATAAAAGGACCCTTTTAGACACATTTCACCTTCAGTGCTTGTTCTTTGTAGATATGGCCTAAAAGTGGCTTGTAGAGTCTTTCAGGTGTCTAGATAGAAGACACATAATTTCAGGGGAGATGGGAAAGCTCTCTGGATTCTGTGTGTGTTTTGCTGGTTGCGCAAATACATACTTGATATGCGAGTAGGTGTGTCATATTTACCCAGATACCTACAGAATTTTTAGCGATGGGATAATGCTGGTCTCGAGACTTGACAGGGAATGGGTATCCAGCTCCCATAGGCTGATAGGATAGGAGGTACATGTATCACCCCAAATCGGAAGTTAAGACACCACTCATATTCTCACGATACGGAGAATGAAGCGGATAAAAAAGCAGTACCTGGTATACGATGATGATTTTGCTAAATCATACACATCGTGTTGTTTGATTAAGGCGTGTCGCGGTTTTTATTCACACTTTTGTTTTTGTTTTCTTTAATGCAAAGAAATATGCACTAGAATTTATCACTATGTTTTACGTTTGTTTGCAATTTGTCTAAAGGAATGTTTCCTGCTGTTTTTGATTTCATCGATACGAGATGACCTCCAGTATTAGAAACTCGAGATCATTATGTCCACTTAAGTACATAGTGCAAGATAAACAGCAGCGACGATAAGCAAATATTTCGTACAAACGTATCTTCATTTACCCTTGGCAATATTTTACAGATTTGACGATGACATGGCAAGTGCCTAAAAATCACTGGTTCGTGGGGCGCACGTGCTAAGAAAAAAAAAAGTCTAGGAAACCCCTCTATAAAAAGAACCTCAATAAAATACAACGAAGAAATTCAACATCTTAAAAATATAACCTCGCGGTTTATCTCTTCGATCCAAAATGGATACAAATTCCGGATCTTCAATCCTCGACGACCCTGATTTGCTTGCTTCACAGTCACTTATCCACAAGGCTGCAGCAGCTCTCTCTCGGAATGACCTTCTCGTCGCTCGAGAAATCTACACCGAGGTCCTCTCGCACACTCCTTATAATATCCTCGCCTATGTGGATCGTTCGCAGGTACATCTAAAGCTTGGTTATCCCGATCTTGCTGCCGGTGATGCGTATCGAGCTCTACTACTCGGCGATGCTATTCGAGAAACGGTGCAAGATAGATCGATAATATCACGGAAAGAGAATGGCGAATATGACGACGAGGAAGATAGTGAGTGGGGCATAGGCGAGCAGGCATTCGTTACAACATATTCTCATATTCGCCTTTTATCCGAGCGGGTTCTTCCCGAAGACCAAATCAAGAAGCTTCTGAAGACCTCCGTGGACGGAATGGAGGCTACAGCCTTGTTCACTCTGGCTCGGGCATTGAAAGAGGCAAGATGTTTTATGGATGCTCTGGCATATTGTAAAATGGGACTCGAACGATATCCAGATGCCGCAGCTTTGCCCGCACCAATCAATTTCCAAGTCGAAACAGATGAAATTCATCAACTGATGGAGCAAAAGAAGACAGAAGATCCCAGATTCAAACTCAATCCTGACATACTTTTTAGGCACGGTGGCTGCAGGAGGGAAGTCTACCCTTGGAACCACCACGAGCCCGACAGGTACGCCCCGGAGACAGTGGAATCGTTAAATAAAACAATGGCCAAGTGCTCCGATAAGGTGGAAATCAGGGTTGTGGACCTACCTATTTTGCAAAAGAGACAGGATCCCCTGAACAAATTAGAGCTATCGGACAAAGTTTCAGGCTCGGAGAAGCAGCTCGGTGTCTATGCGAAAGACGATATCTATATTGGGGAAACATTCTTTAGGGAAATGTCGCCTTTGACTGTGCTTTCGGATCCTGAGTATTCGAGGTTGTGTGAGTTTTGCGCGGCAGACCTTGGAGACACATATGAAACATGTGAAGACTGCTGGGAGGGCGATGAAGAAAGTGGAATCATGTGGTGTTCTGAAAAATGCAAAGAGAACGCAATGGAGAAGTGAATAAAGCTTATTCCTAAAGTTTCCAAGCTCTTTGAAATACTAACCTTAAATTCAAAGATATCACCCTGCCCTTTGCGGTAGAGATTTCGGCTGGGTTTACCGATCCATCAATGCTAGTATTTCCACAAGCTCTGCACACTCGCTTCTGTTGCTAAAAACTTATGCAACTGCGATAACATTGGATACACATCCTCTCGAGCTACCTGAGGTTAAATATCTTTACGGTGTTAACCGTGTGGGAACCTTTCCAGACTACAAACCAACTGCCCTCGAGCAGCAAGCTCTCCCATTCAACTTCACGAACCAGGTCACTCGTCCAATTCAAATGCTAATGGAGATGGATGTGGATATATTCCAGCCAAATGCAGTTGACTTCTTTGATCTATGGGTGATTCAGACCTTATGGGCAAAGTTTATCGGTGTTGCGAGTGCGAGAGTGCACAAAAGGACGGGGAGGACCGAGATTGCGGCGGTTCGTCACTCGACACATTTTTTCTTCCCTTAGGAATTGGAGGTGCTGACACGTTCCTGTGTATAGGTCCACATGCTTTACTCAATGTTCAACCACTCATGCGAGCCTAATATCAGTTGGGAGTGCGGTGGTGAAGTGAATTTCACTGGTTTTTCCCGCGCACTTGGGAGAGAGGCAGAGCTCAACACACAGGTCGTGGCTGTGAAAAAGGGAGAAGAGTGTTTTAGTCATTACTGCGATATTAGTCTGGACTATCGCGAGCGACAGGAACATGCTTGGGGCCCCCTAGGTGGTAGATGCAGCTGTACACGATGTACTAGAGAGGAAGAGGCGGAAGCGAAAGAACTAGCGAAAATCGCAAAGCTCTCGATCGCAGGTAAATAAGGTGGATTATTTGAGGATAAAAGTCACTTCCAGCGATCTTTGCATATTGGATCGCGCAAAACCATGTGTATGTAACCTGAACACATACCCCTGTCCGCCCATAGATACTCTATAGAAATAAACTTGATGATTCGGGGACCACAACCCCCTCTTGGGTATCCTCATGTACTATCACTCGATGTGATTGTCGATTTTAAACAATATTTCGAGTATTGGCAATACGCACTGAGGGACAATAATATCTGCAGTCTTAATGATAAGTTTTGAATTGTAAGCTGTTACGCACTTGTTCAAAGGTGCAATGGATATCGGGAAATCAGATAAATGTGGACAATTTTACACGCTATAGAGAACCATCCCAACCCAGATTGTATCTGCATCCCTTGTCCTAACACCGAAAAAAAAAAAAAATTGCGACCAAAAGGAGGAAGATATTATTTCACACCCGGAGAAAAGCTTCATGTATATTTCGGTTCTTTGGACGGAAAAAAAAAATTACCCATGCAAGCAATTCCAGTAAGGTACACCCGCCCCACAAACCGAGCACAAGATTTTATTTATTTTTACCCCGTTTTGATATCCCAGAAGAAAAGAAAAAGGATCACCGCTTACGCCTGTATCCGAAAATTAAGCCGTTAGCACTTCATTCCATTCACCAAAATCGAAATCTCCACCCCCAAAACCGTGTTCATCCTCCACCCGCATATTCCCCTTATTCTCCAAATATGATCCCATTTATTCCCCCTCCAAATTCCCCTCTTCCAAAAAAGTTCTCAGAGTTGACCCACCTTGATAGCGTACTTCCTCTTAGGGAAGTGCAGAGCCTTCTTGCTCTCCTTGACAGTCTTGAGTCTAGACTCGTGCTTGGTCAACCGCCTCCTGATAGCCCGGGTCTTCTTGGTGCGGAGGTCGAGAGGCAGGTATTTCTTGCCCTTGTAGAAGATGCGGAGCTGCTGGCGCTGAGTGGCGTTGATGACAGTCAGGACACGGGCGACAGACTTGCGGACATCGTGGCTGTAACCCATATATTAGTTGTTTATGTCCCCCCATGTTCTCCTTTCCTAGTCGAATATCAGAGCCGCTCGTTGAAGGGGGGTATGTACATCTTGGTGAGCTTGGAAGAAGCACCACTGGTAATTTTCTGGACACGGAGGTTGGAAAGCTCCAGCTTCAGCTCATCGAGCTGCTTCTGCAAGTCGGTCTTGGACTTCTTCCAGAGGGTTCCTGTCTTGACACCGGGCTAAATTGCAAGGGAAAAATAAAGTTCCATTAGTACTTTTTGTCCGTCCACCAAACTCCACCCTCCGAATTTGCAGAATTGATCCATCGAAATGACCATCGGGAAAAGGGAGAGAGGTTCGACGTACCATCTTGATTAGATTTTTCGGGTTCGTGGGGTCGGTGGTATTTTGGCGTCGGGATCTGTCGAGTCGTGAATTTGCGAATGTCGGCGTATCCTGCGTGTTGCTATGGTGGAGTGGAATTTGGTATTCCAGAATTTGTGGGCAGCAGTCTTGTGGCCTTGGCGATGCTGCGGGGGCTATTGCCCTTATCTTATCGCATTAACAACCACCCTTGGGGGACATCTTTCAAAAACCTACTTTCCACGCTCAATGGCCTAATAATCCACTTTTGACTATTTACAGTGAGTCTACGGTACGGTAAAAAGAGATGGACCTGATTCGCTATCGCTCATTGAAGGGAATTCAAAACCTAGTAACGCTAACCTTGGAGACTTAAGAGACTGAAATAGGATGTTTTTTGTCTTCTTGTTGAGACTTTAAAAAGGTTTTTGACGCCTTTAGCTATGCGTTCCTTCTTGGGCTTCCTCAATCGTTGAGATAAGATGTGACGAGTGATTTCCCATGATGGCCCTCGTCTCCGTGCTTAGGTCATTTGGTTATCGGATTTGAGCAAAAGCTCAACCCGAATTGAATTAATGCTTCTTACTCCTTATCAAAACTACCACCTGTGAGAAAACATCACTCTTTGGTTTCAGTTCGGCGGAAGGCACTCTAGATACGCCTAAAAAAAAACCACTCTATTGAAGCTACATAATAGATCGAACATGTAATCAAACCTTTTCAGCTTTATGATTATGATCAGATTGCTTCATGGCTTTCAGTATTGAATTTCCTAAATTATGTACGTTGTCAACTCTAGCTTATGGCAAACTATTATGACAGTAGATATATATTCCTCTTGCATCTACCCCCCCCCCCCCCTCTTTTCAAGGATATATATCAAATATATTTTTACCCACTACCTTTAACGATTTTATACGTGGAATTCTCGGTCGGGGTAGCTGCTCTTTGAAGGCGTGTTTGTGGGCTCGGCGATATGTTTTTAAGAGCATGAATTTGAGGATGCAATGTAGGCTGTTTATATGGAATAAGTGTTAACTGAATATGAGGTTTTGTTTTTGTTGCTAGTTCGTTTATTGTATGAATACATCTAATAAGCGGTAGCGCTAGATACATACATGTAGGCTTGTGCACTGACGTACTGCTACACGGGTTCACGTTGTCCGCCGAAGCCTTGGACACAATATTGTCCTACAAACGACAATTCATTTGGACCTTTTCAGCAAATACACCACAAACGATACATTAGTGGAGGGTCCATATGAGGTATATTTCTCCTCTGTGTTTACATCAGCGTACCAAAAATCTGTGTATGTTTTTTTAAGGATACCCTCAATCATGAAGGCAGATTGATATAATTAACTGCGTAATAACAGACCACTTGGCAATGTCAAATACCGATTTCTTTCTCCCAACTGTAATGGTAGGGCCCGGGGAGATGAATTATCATCATTCCTATCACTTACTCCCCCCACTATTACCTCCATAACACTCAAAATATTCAAGATCCTGGTTTTCACAATTCCAACATTCCTCACCGGGGCCATGTTCACAATCGACGAACGGGTTTTCATCATCTTCACCTCCGTAATCACCATAACACTCAAAATATTCAGGACCCTGGTGTTCACAGTTCCAACAGTCCTCACCAGGGCCATGTTCACAATCAACAAATGGGTCCTCGACATAATGGCCACTCTTCAGACATTCCTCATCGTATCCATAATCTAACTCATCCTCATTAAAGCCGTGATTTGTATATGTAGGCATCTGGCCCTTCATACCCTTGTGGTCACCGGAGTTCCTGTCGGTTTTTTGATCCACAGAGCCCCTAAATTCCCGATCAATCCCTTGATCCTCATGTTTTCCAAATGCTTCAACGCAACCCCGTCGGTCGTCGTTAATCCCACGACTACCAGATTTAATAAGATTTGAGTTGACCTGTCGCGTTTCACGGGCTTTCCGACATTCATAGTTCTCGGGACGGCATTGATTGTGATGTATAGGCCGCTTTTCATCGTTGGTATCACAGTAATTTGTGTGTTCACAATCCTCTAAGTCACTGGTCTTCTCATGGTGGGTTTGTATTTTTGCATTCGGGATGACATTCGCTGAAGAAAAAAACAGCTACTTGTCAACTTGATTCTTGAATTTTAAACGTTGTTTATGTCCTTACCTTTGTTAAACTTGATAGAAATCACCGGTAATCCATGACAATGTCGTAGATCTTTCACAATGCCGTAATCCGACTTGTTAAAATAGAGGGTAGACCCTTGAATGGCTGTATTTGAGGAGATAGTAGAACCTTTGCTGAACTCAACCTTAGAACAAGAATAATTGGCGACTGAGTCCGTGACTGAGTTTTTTTCTTTCGAGGACATTTTTGGTTATAGTATGTAGCTGATTCTTAAAGGTTCAAGTGCTTAACCACAGGTTTTAGTAAGATCAGACTGGAGTTAGCACCACGACTCCGGAAGCGTAGAAACACATGTCTTAACAAACTGTTGGGTGCGCTTGTCAACTCAGTTCAACTGATATCTGGCGCCAGGACTGACCTCATTGTTGGGAACTTTAAGATTATAGCTTGCTCATTCTGGAGACGTAGTCTATATTCCCCGGTGCAACTTGCTCTCAGCTGGCATTAGCCACGCACCAAGTACTCATCGGTTTACGGTACATGCAGCTCTTGACACTCATATCGGGTCCTTTTATTTCAAACGTGTACGGTGCAGAGCACATGTACTTTCTGACTTTTCCCAAATTATTTCGTGTTGGGTCTACTAGTACATGTAACCAAAACTTGCGCATTAAACATGTGATAGTACATGGTTCATATTCTCGCCCAGACACAGGTCGTCTGGGGCGTCCCGCACTCCTCGATTAGGTTGTTTTCACAAGCTTGGCCCCACGTTAAGCACCCCAGAATATCGAGTCTCAGTCAGAAATTCACAATAGGATGAAATGCGCTGGAATGATCATATAGTATCACTCGCCGTGGTGCCGGCACATGGTTTGCACATGTTCGACTGCAAGCAGACACTCACTTGCAGGGCATCGCTAACGCGAAGTGCTTGAAGAGTGGACCTTACATGCAGGTACATGTGAGTACCTATGAGAGTACCTACATGTAAATACATGTATTAACACTGAACCCTACCTTCGCTAACACATCCGAGCATATGGTAAATCTATAGAGAGACTCATGATCATATATTGTCACTCGGTTAAGATTTCCCCATACCAATGTATCGTTCTTACTCTTATTTATTCACTTTCGGCCCGCCTATCAACTTTTTCAAGTTTGATCACTTGTTGCGACGGATGTGGCACCAAGATTCTTCCGTGCTATGCGCTTACCTGAGCCATCTTAGCCTTCGTATTGCTCTAGCTTTTGAGGGCCTTACCTAGTGAATTAATCAATCAACTTCTGAAGCCTGCTCAAATAAAGTGCGGGTGTCTAACTGATAAGATATCGCTAAACCAGTGGCGTATCCCATCTGGGGTTGGTAAAGGATGATCAATTGGAATTTTCAAACTAATTGCAGGGTTTGTCGGTACCTTGTCTTTGCGCGGCCGTTATTTCCTTACGTCCGTAGGAGTGTTCATAGAAGGGTTTCGGGGAGCAGACTGCGGTGAGGGTGAGAAGGAAAGACATGTGAAAATTAGACGGCCACAAGCCCGATTGCAGTAGAGTACTATGTAGTTATTGAGGTATTTTTGTAGAGTTGAAGGGATTCCTTTGGGACACGCGCAGCGCGCATACTAGAGCATAATGCACTTTTTTATGGGAGTGACGACGCCCAGATTCAATTCCATCGTCTTACATGTTTCTCACTTTTGCCTTCTGGCGGGGTAGACAAGGCATCACCTGCTGATTAGTCCCGAAACACTCGCGTTGCAGGCTTTCCTTGGGCCCAGAAATTTGGGCAACTACATTATCATGCATGGATAGCTATCCCAGGAAAAAATATGCACTGCAAACTTAGCTAGATGGATGGAAAAATAGTCCAGAGGCATCTGTAGGTGAAGTACTTATAAGTACACAGCAGCTCCCACGTTGATGATTGACCTACTCGACCCCGCGACCTTCAGTCTAGCATAAATTCGAAAGATGGCCTCCACAGGTGTCAAGCAGGACGTCCCGTCAAATGTCTATAATCGTTCGGATGCTGAGAAACCACCAGTGGACTCGGTTTCTTTAAGTGGAGCCAGGATTTCTGCAGATGACGGCGAAGCGGGCTCGTTGCCTCCAAGCTACGACCATACTCACCGGAAACTGAAGCCCAGACACATTCAATTGATCGGTATTGGTGGCACAATCGGGACTGCACTCTATGTTAATATTGGAAGAGGGTTGATGCAGGGAGGACCTGCCAGTTTATTTATTGCTTTCTCATTATGGTATGATATTTAATCTCTTGAATTAACCTTAATGGATGAGAGCTCGAGAGAAATTATGGAATACTTAGTACCAAGAGCTCTGTTGCAGGAGGAAGTTGAAGTCTAGGCGTTGAGATACTCATATTTGTGCAAAAACTTAGGTGTACCGTCATTTTGGCAATCAACAATAGTATGGCAGAGATGGTGACCTACCTCCCCGTATCTTCACCATTCATCCGATTCGCAGGTCGTTACGTAGATGATGCTCTTGGATTTGCCGCTGGATACAACTTCTTTATCTTTGAAGCAGCTCTCGTACCTTTCGAAATCGTTGCCTGTAATGTTATTTTACATTACTGGACCGATAAGATTCATGTAGCCATTGTGATTGCTGTAATTATCGCATGCTATGCGTAAGTCATTATGTGTTATATCCCCACCTTGTTCATAACTAATGCTTTGTTTTAGACTTGTGAATCTGACTGCCGTAAAATGGTATGGGGAGAGTGAATTTTGGATGGCTCTGGGAAAGGTTATCTTGATCGTTAGCTTAATTTGCTTTACTTTTGTCACAATGTTAGGGGGGAACCCGCAAGGTGATAGGTATGGATTTAGATATTGGAAAGACCCGGTAACCATCCATCCATCTCCACCGCTCATACTCGCTAGTACAAGAGTTAATATTATATATCACAGGGCCCATTTGCAGAATCCACCAAAACAGGCGATGTCGGAAGGTTTATCGGGTTCATTGCGTGTCTTATTCAAGCTAGTTTTACTATTGCAGGACCAGACTATGTCAGCATGGCAGCTGGAGAGGCAGAAAACCCACGAAAGGCCTTACCACGGGCATTCAATGCCGTCTTTTACCGTCTCACTACATTTTTCGTTTTGGGATCTCTTTGCGTGGGAATTGTCGTTCCCTACAATGACCCAACAATGAAGGCCGCATTCTCTGAGGGACGGCCGGGTGCCGCTGCATCTCCTTATGTTGTTGCTATGGATAGGATGGGGATCCCATATCTGCCTCATATTGTGAATGCTTTGATTTTCACATCGGCGTTATCGGCTGGTAATTCGTACGTCTACTGTGCAAGCAGAAGTTTATATGGTCTTGGTTAGTCTCTTTAGATCTCTACTGAGACAAGCATCTAACAGCATATATGTCCATCTAGCTCTTGAAGGCAAAGCCCCGAAAATATTGGCAAAGTGCACCAAGGGCGGTATTCCCTTGTACTCGATCGCCGTAGTCCTTGCAATAGCCCTTCTTTCATTCCTCCAAGTCTCCAACAATGCAGCAGTGGTTTTGCAGTGGTTCATCAACCTGGTTTGTCTCCCGGCCGCTCCGCCTCCGCACTGTAAAAATTAATGTTTCTAAATCCTTCTTAGGTGACAGCCTCACAATTGATAAACTTCTCGGTGATCACCTTCACCTACATCAAGTTCAGGAAGGCTCTTGCCGCACAAGGAATCCCCCGGGACACCCTACCACACAAGGGTTTTTGGCAACCAGCTACGGCATGGTATGCCTTTACGGCCACGTCCATCATGTGCTTTGTCGGTGGCTACAGCGTCTTTGTACCCGGAAACTGGGATGTTCCTACATTCCTTTTCTCGTGAGTCTTCTCATGCATCCTGTTCCTACTGCCCCGAGAAAAAGAAAGGGAAAAGGGGGAAAGGCTAACTTCAAGGGACAAAATAGATACCTCATGATCTTTCTCTTCCCGGTCCTATTCGTCTCATGGAAGCTTATCCACAAAACCAAATGGCGAGCACCGGAAGAGGTTGATCTTTTCTCCGACAAGGCCGATATCGATGAATACGAACGCCAATTTGTTCCTGCTCCCCCTAGGTATGCCGTTATCCGCCCTTGATATTATCGTTGGAACCCTTCCTTTATACTGACTGACACAATACGTTCCACAGAAATACGTTTATGAAATACTGGGATAAAACATTCTCTTGATATATGGGGGGCGTTTATATAATGACGGTGTTTGATTATTATCTCTTTATTTAGGTTTTGATCGACGGAGTTTTTTCGCCGGATGAGATTGATTCGGACTCAGTCTATAAAAGTATTTCGTTCCTATGGGTATACGTAACATATCTATTTGTTTCAAAGAATTTTTTTTTTTTTTGTAAATACTATAGATAATTATCCCTTCGGCTGTCGATTGCTGCCCCCCCCCCCCCCCCCTATAATAGAGAAATCAAATTTTGTATGTGAGATCTGTTATTTGATAAGGGAGATAACGAGATCTGCTAGTAAAGCCACACCAGATTTGCTTTTTCTTGGGGGGGCAGCATTTTGTCGACAGACGAAGGGATAGCTATGGTGCAAGAGGGAGTAGAGGGCGTCCCGTCAACCCTGTACACACCACTTCATTGGCTGGATCCGGGAAGCAAACATTGAGGAGCCTCACCTTTAACTCGACTTTATGGCTGTAAGGGCTACAATACTGAACTGGTGTGAACAGGGATGACAAGGTCGCCCCCCAAGGCCTCTCGCACCATACCCCAAGTACTCTCGCAGCCAGACCTACCCCACAAACAAGGAGGACAGTCAGAAGAGTGGTCGTGTAATCAGCATTTTAGATCTTAACCGACTTTTTTCTTCTTCTTTCCTTTTTCTAAATATTTGCGGCAGACTGCTACGACTACTAATTTCACGCAAAAAAGCGCCAAATCCACCTTTTTATGTCATGCAATATTAGTCACCCTCGGAAACGCTATGAATAGACGAGTAGGGTAGGGTACATGTACCTACATACAGTAGAGCACATACCCTGGAGGTGTAGTTGAACTCGCAATCTCAAAAAACCACTTCAACAATTGAAACCACGCTTTTAATACTCGACAACCCCAAGGAGTTCTCCATCCACACTCCTACAAACAACACAAGACTTTCCTTTTACCCCTCCTCGAACATAGAGTCGGCGATCACGTCTAGAGATGTAGCCCTCATTCCAAGTCCCCCAACTAGAACAAAACACCCCCCCCCCCCCCCCCGGGCCCCGGTGGGGGAAAGAGAAAGAAAAAGACGAACTCCACTATCAATTTTAGTTGCAGATTAACTACCAGATACCGCTCCACTCACTCACTCCCTACGCAGCCCCCCCCCCCCCACACTCTACGTACTCCGTCAATGATTTCATGCTCAGTGCCATGCGCATGCGCATCCACAGAAAAAAAAAAGAGGAAAAAAAAGAAAGAAAAAAAAGAATAACAATCTTTGTAACCCCAAAAAGGAAAATACAATAAAAGAAAAAAATCACACAGAAAAAACAAATTCTCGCATCATGTTTCATTTCAATCTAAGCCAGTCAGTCTTACATTAGCTACCATATTTTTTTTTTCCACATATACATGTATGTATGTCGACGCGCCGTCGCAGGGAAGTTGGGGGGGGGGGGGAGGGGGGTTGAAGTGAGGAGAATAATAACAAAGGGAGCCAGTTTTACAAACCTTTAGCCATACAGCCCCATTTCCTCCTCACTTTTTGCCCTTTTATGCATTGTCCTTTGCTTTTCTTCCCTAGAGCCTCCTATAGGGCTTTTTTTTTATATATAAAGAAAACGAAAGAAATGTCAATTTGTCGCAATCGTGCTCTATGACAAGAGGTCAGAGACATTCATTGGCATCTCGTCGATTTGTGTACCTGGCCACAGTGTTAGCGGTTAAAGTTATTGGGGAACTGGGGGGTAGGCCTACTGTAATAAAGTTCGATATCACGGAGGATCCTGACGTCCTCGCTGGTAACAAAGTTGATAGCAACACTACCATTCTGTTAGCAATTCCACTACCCAAACAACCCTAACCCGTAGAGAGGGGTGGCGGGGGGTGGGTGGGGAGCAACATACCCCTTGCGCCCAAATCTACCACTTCTACCAATCCTGTGAATGTAGTTCTCACGGTTATTCGGCAAGTCGTAATTGATGACCAGCGAGACCTGCTGGACATCGATACCTCTCGCCCAGACATCTGTCGAGATGAGCACCCTGCTGTTCCCGGTCCTAAAATCCTCCATGATACTATCGCGCTCCTTCTGCAGCATCTCGCCGTGCATGCTCGAGACCGTGAAGTTGGCCTCCCTCATCTTGTCCGCCAGCCAGTCGACCTTCTTCCTGGTGTTGCAGAAGATGACGGCCTGCGTGATGGTCAGGGTGTCGTACAGATCGCACAGAGTGTCGAACTTCCAGTCCTCCTTGTCGACGGCAATGAAGTACTGCTTCAGGCCGTCGAGCGTCAGCTCGTCACGCTTGACAAGGATGTGCACGGGGTCCGTCATGAATTTGCGTGTCATGTCGAGCACGTCGTACGGCAGGGTGGCCGACACGACGACGACCTGCGTGCTGGGCGGGAGGTAGCGGTAGACGTCGTAGATCTGCTCGCGGAAGCCCATGTTGAGGAGCTCGTCGGCCTCGTCGAGGACGAGCATCTTGATGTGGCGCGTGCGGAGGCTTTTGCGGCGGATCATGTCGGCGACGCGGCCGGGGGTGCCGGAGACGACGTGTGGGCCGCGCTCGAGCGCTTGGATGTCTAGGCCGATGCTGGTGCCGCCGATGCAGGCGTGGCATTGCACGTTCATGTAGTCGCCCAGAGCCATGATGACGGATTGGATCTGGGTTGCGAGTTCGCGGGTGGGGGAAAGAACGAGTGCTAGTTCCGATCAGTCAGTCAGTCAGTAGGGGAATGATGTTTATGCTACTGCCAAGAATGGGTGCGAACCTTGTGCCTCGAGCACGGCGGTGTCGATGACCTGGAGGATCGAAATGGAGAACGTAGCGGTTTTACCGGTACCGGATTGTGCCTGCGCGATCGTGTCACGACCTTTGCAGATCTGGACGATGGCACGCGATTGCACAGCGGAGGGGGATTCATAACCGTATGCATAGATTCCACGGAGAAGGGCCTCTGTGCAGCACCAATGTCAGTCAGTATGGGGGAAAGCACACGAGAAGGGAATCCGTACCCTTCAGTTGCATAGACTCGACTGGAGATCGGATATATAATATTAGTATTCATGAATTGGGTTGGGAGGTTGGAAAAGCAAGGTTCAGGGCCACATACAGGTAGGCGCGCTGTTTGAATTGTTAGCACAGGCAGGCAGGCAGGCAGGACACGCGCAGTGGCGAGCAGAGTAGAGCAGTAGGGTAGGTAGGGGGAATTTACACAGTGATCTCCGTAGAGGTCTTGAACTCGAGTTTGGCATCCTCCTTCCTGTTGATTCCAGCTTCGGCCATGGTTGCAATGATTGAACGGGATTGTATTGGTTGGTTTGTTGTAATAGTAGAAGTTGGCAGACTTCAAAGATTGCAAGGTCGGGTGTTGAATGAGGATTCGTGACAGAACGAGAAAGGCTGAAGTGTGAGAATCACGAGGCAGGCAGGGTAATCTTCTGGAAAGCTCCATTGCGCGCGAGCCCGAAATCTGATTTGCCAGAGCGAGGAGCCCTAACCCACATGGCAACCAGCACCCCATGAATTGAAGAGTAGAGGGAACGTTAGGGAGATACGAGGCTTTATTGAAGCTCGATGTTCAACCTCGCGAGGTGGATGGACCCCTAGTAGGCATAGATCATGTGACTACCCTCTTGGTGTGAAGGCTTAGGATTTTGTGAGAGTAAAATGGGTCACATGATCTATATTAAAATCAGCGTCGGTGTTCCGTGCCGAGAGTTACGCACATGCACGGCACCACTGGGTATAGCCTTGTTACATCCAGTTCCCCTCCCCCGCCATAGTGCTCTGTGTAGTACCTACATCTTCCTCTCCCGTGTGACTCCTCTATCGACGAATCCCCCCCCCCATCTACATCTCTCTCTCTCTGCTGCTATTCACCCAGTACACCTCCAACCAACGCAGTTACACCCAGCCCTCCCAAACCTCATCTTCTATCTCACTCGCCCCCCCTCTGCTATCACAGAGGTCCCTCACACACACAAGTACCTACAAATCAACTGCTACAATTACCCACAAGCTAGCTAGCAATCCAACAGCTCCAAAGCCATCACCAAACACCATGAACCCCTTCTACTCCACCCTCTCCACCCTCCGCGAGTATCTCTCCACCCCCTCCAACGCCTCCACATTCACAAAGACCGGCCAGGTCACCCCCGAAGAGTTCGTCGCCGCCGGCGACTACCTCGTCTACAAGTTCCCCACCTGGTCCTGGGCCCCAGCGGACGCAGCCAAACGTGTCACGCACCTGCCCGACGACAAGCAGTACCTCGTTCTGCGCAACGCGCCCTGCCACAGCCGTGTCGACGACAGCTTCTCGTCGTGGAATCCGGGCGAGGCAAAGGAGGGCGAGGACGAGTGGGAGGATAACGCACCACCACCCACGTTCGCGACCACCACGGATCCGAACGGCGAGGCGCCCGAGGCGGCGAAGGTAAAAACGGTGGATGAGGCTGGGGAGGAGGAAGAGGAGGACGAGGACGAGGACGATATCCCGGATGAGGAGGAGGATGATGATGAGGCGATCATCAGGGAGGCCCCAAAGGCGAGAACAGGAGGCAGAGGTGTTAAGGCGTGAGTACCCATCTATTTGTTTATGCCCCCCCCCCCTCCCGGTTAAGGAGGAGCTCCCTTGGAGCTGTATAGCCGAGGGAAAGAGCTCTAGATAGCTAGCTCTAGCTATCTGAGACATATTTACCCCCCACTTTCAAGCTATGATAGCTTAGCTAACCCCCCACCCCCCTCCTACAGACCTCTCCGCACGTACAACCTATACATCACCTACTCCGTCTACTACCGCGTCCCACGCTTCTACCTCTCCGGCTACGACGGCACCACCCGCATGCCCCTCAACCCCCCCACCGTCATGTTCGAGGACATCGCGCCCGACTACCGCGAGAAGACCGTGACGATCGAGGAGTTCCCGCCCATGGATGGTAGCGTGCAGATGGCGAGCGTGCATCCATGCCGCCACGCCGAGGTCATGAAGCGCATATTTGAGAGCATGGCCCGGAGACGCGAGCGCGAGGAGTGGGAGGAGGTGCCTGCGGCGGGCGAGGCCGAGGTGCAGGAGAGCGCTGATGATGGCGGCCTCAGGGTGGACCAGTACTTGGTGGTCTTTGTGAAGGTGATTGCGGGGGTTGTGCCGGGGGTTGAGTTGGATTATACGATGGGTATCTAGATGGAGTTTTTTTTTGTCTCGCATTTTCATCCTTTCTGCTTCTTCTTTCCTCTGTCTTTTTTTGTCTTGTTGGTTTGGTGTAGTCGGTGTATAACTGCTTTTCTCTGTGATGGAGACTCTTCTTCTTCTTCTTCTTTCTCTTCCCTTTCTGGGCTTCTCATGCATGGGGTTTCTTCATTGTTCCCTTTCTTTTTCTTTTTCCTCCCTCACTGTTCTTACTCTTATTACTACAGTTCTTGCTCGAGTCTATGTACTTCATATTGTGCTGCCCCCCTCCGCAAGGTGATCTCTGTCAGCTTGGGTTTCTCTACAACGCTTCTCATCATATAGCGAGGCTTTCTTCTCCGTTATAATTCATTTCTCCTACATCTCTCTCTCTGCGAATTCTTTCTTGCTGTACTGGTAGCTGTTGGACGTAGAAGATATATGATGTACTCTGTTCACACACGTACCCACCTAGATACATCCGAGTGAGCGGTAGAGATACAAATAAACCAGACAGAGCAGAGCAGAGCAGAGCACAAGGCCTTGCTTGACGCACACGAGATGTCTGCATGTGCACCTGTTACTTCCCTCGTGACATGCCATCACAGGGCAGGGCAGGGCAGGGCAGCGTTGCCGTGATCCCTCCATACTTGTACCCAAACCTCCCTCCGTAGAACAACCGCCCTGCCCCGCCAAACCGCTGCTGCAGGGCGAGAGATCAATTTACACAGCCAAACCCCTCCACACCAGCCCCTCCACACCCCACCAAACCCGCCCAAAATGTCATTACCACGCACCCTCCTCCTACGGCCCTACCACCACCCCCTTCGCCTTCGCCCTCGCCCTCTCCCTCTCCCTCTCCCCCTCCTCCTCCGCATCACCATCCAGCCGCCCGCACACCTTCTGCAGCGCCGCCACCTCGCAGCATCCCCGCCGCCTCCACCGCCAAGCAAGAAGCCGCAGCCGGACAATGAAGAAGAGCCCTTCACAGAGCTCGACTCGACCCTCACGGGCAAAGAGAAAGAGAAAGAGCCCCCGCGCCTCGCCCGCCCCATCGGGCTCGACCACCCGCCGCGCCCGGACGAGAACACGGGCATCGACACGCGCACGTGGGCCGAGCGCCGCGACGACTTTCGGAATTGGGATAAGCATTTGGAGAGGCGGGCTAAGATGTTCTCTTCCTCCCCCCTCCCCTCTGCCCCCCCTCCCTCTTCCCTTCCTCCCCTCCCGCCTTCCCCCAACGCAAATAGCTGACAGGGCACAGGACAAAACAGATCTTCAAGCCCTACTTCCGCGACTTCTCGCGCCTCTCCGCAACCCACAAGGGCAAGTCGTTCATCGCCCCGCCCCTGCTCTTCCGCGCCGACAAGGCCCTCTTCTTCCCCAACCTCGTCGGGCGCACGCTGCAGCACCCCACCGACCCGCTACAGAGCACCACCGCCGCGCTGGAGGGGAAGGTCAGTGTCGTCAGCGTCTTCAGCAGCGCGTGGGCCGAGGCGCAGGTACGCACTTTCACCTCCAGCCTCGAAGAGGACGCCTGGGACAAGGAGGAGGAAGGGGGGTGTGTGCAGAGGGTTGACATAAACGTCGAGACGAACCCGCTCAAGGCGTGGCTGGTGCGGGTGTTTGTGCCGCGGATCCGCGCGGGCGTGGAGGAGCGGGGATGGGGGAGGTATTTTTTGGTGCAGAGGGGGCTGGAGGAGGAGGTGCGGGAGAGGATGGCGTATGTTAATGAGAAGGTCGGGTATGTGTATCTTGTGGACTGGGACTGTCGGATCCGGTGGGCGGGGTCGGGGCGGGCGGGGGAGGAGGAGAAGGCGGCGCTGCGGAGGGGGGTGGTGAAGTTGAGGGAGGACTGGAGGAGGTTGGAGGGGGAGAGGGAGGAGAGGAGGGTGGCGAGGGTGGAGGGGGAGAGGGTGGAGGGGGAGAGGAGGAGGGTGGCGGAGGAGATGGATGAGATTTGAAGGGGAAATGGGTGGAGTAAAATGAACGTGTGCTGTAGATAATTAGTGGCTTTTTAGACGTAAATATCACATAAGGTTTCCGCTCATATTCTGCGATATCCAGAGCACACATACATGTATGGCCTAGTAAGGGCACATAAGTCCCATACCTGACATCCGGCCGGACGCCGAGATTCTGAGCTACTTAATCAGACGAGTGAGTTTTGGTGATGAGGCATCTCATCTTATCATTTCCACTTGATCTACCCTATCTGGCTGGCGCTGAAAGACCATTGACACCCCCGATACGGCAACATAGCAAAAGCAATGATCGTATTAGAGGCTTTGCAACTTTCACCATTACCCCTCGGCGTGCAATTTCTGCATGGGATAAAATATGATAATAAAAGCTGCAATGAACTAAAGTCCCTTATCAGATCTAGGTCTTTATAGACCATGATCTTTGGTGGAATGCAACACATCTGCAAGTGATTAGGATATCGATTTCCTACGGACGGCTCCAAGGTCATGTACACAGTAGCAAAAAAAAACAATAGTAATGGTAAGAGTAAACAAGCGCCAGTGCGAGAAAAAAAGACACCCAGACAGAAGGAATAAGAGGAAGAGAAAGGAAAAAAAAAACACCTGCAAGGCAGAAACTCAACGCAGATTCAAACACACACAAAGTCCCTAACTAACGGGGCGGGAAGACTACACAATCCACTCCAATCCAACGCAAAGCTTGCACGCACCCCACAGAAACAAAAAAACCGAAAGAGAAAAAAAAGTAAGAACACCCACCGCCAGCCAGCCCCATCCATCCAAACACCACCACCACACTACCGAAACCACAACACGCCCAAAAAGCAGACCGTAATCAGCGCCGCCAAAATAACACTATCCCTCTTCTTCCTCGTATTAATCTTTGCGACAATCGTATTAATCCCCGGCACCTTACTCGCACTGCTCGCAATGCGCCGGTTGATATTCTGCAGCATCTGGCGCTGGCCCATAAAGTCCTCATTGACGGCATACGCCTGGCTGAGCACGCCGTCGGCGACGCTGTGGCTGCGGTCGATGCGCTCGCGCTCGTCGAGCATGTAGTCGGCCTCGGAGCGGCCCTCCTCGATGCGGCTGGCGGAGCGGAAGGCCGAGATGTCGTCGCGCACGGTCGAGAGGAGGTTTGTGCGGCTGCGCGCCTCGGCGATGGTGCTGCGCAGGCGGGCGTGTTCGCGGCGGTGGTCGGCGAGCGTGCTGCGGTGCAGCGAGAGGTTCTGGAGTTTGGTGGCGCTGGAGGTGAGGGCGGATTCGGAGTCGAGGAGGCGCGAGAGGGAGGCGACGGTGGTGTCGCGCTGTGGGTGGGAAGGGTTAGTGGGGTGTGGGTGCAGGGGAGGTAAGGTAGGAGGGGCATACCTTGGAGAGGATGTCCTGGAGCTTGCGCTCGGTTTGGAGCTCTTCTTCGGTGGGCTTTGCGGGTGGGGAGGAGGCGAAGGCGGAGTATGTGTGGAAGAGGCTCTCGGTCTGCGCGGGGGGAGGGGGGGGGGGGGTTTGTTAGCGGCGGGTCTTGCTCGGGGAGGTTCCTTCCTTCCTTCCTACGTACCTGTGACTCTAGGGAGCGGGCCTGCTGCCGGAGCTGGGCCCAGCTGCTTGCGGTGGGGACGGCCATATTGGTGCGAGAGAGAGAGAGAGAGAGAGAGAGCGTGTGGGTGAGTGAGTGAGTGGGTGAGTGAGTGAGGGGGAGATATGTCGGGAGGTGGGGAGATGGAGGTGAGAGCAGAGCAGAGCAGAGGTTCTAGTGGGTATCGTGAGGGTTGTTGGAGTTGACCTTGACCTTACCCGTTGCGCGGCCTGGAAATGGTGGGCTGCGTACCTGTGGCGGTGGCCTGTTGGGGAGCTCGGTGTGGCGGTGCGGTACGGCGGGCGGGTTAGGGTTGTTGGCTTATCGATAACGGGGCAGGGACAGATAGGAAGAGCTTGTATTAGGGCGAGAGGTCTTGTATAAAGGGCCTCGTGAAGGTTATAAGTCATTGATCACAAAGTGCATGAGCCATTCAATTGTGTGCTCCATCGACGATTGTTTCGCCATGATATGTTATTGTTTCTGGCGAGATAAAAACCCGAGTGATACACCATGACGCCTGATCCTCACCCCTTAGGAAATTCAGGTCACACTCTGATGAAGCCTGCCTACGTTTAAACCGAAGCAAGTATGGGAGACTCTTAGTTTGCTTATGTGGGTATCTCTAGAATTCATCTCCCTTCTCTAGTAATATAGATCCAGCCAGACGCATGCAGGATGAACGTCCCCATGGCCATTAAATTCAGGTCTGCCCGCGTGCACACACATATACATTACCCCCAGCTGCAGCTGTCAAATGCGCAAAAAGGGAATTTGGAATTATGGGGGGGGGGGGGGTCGCGATGGTCTAGTAGGAAGGGGTTCAGTCTAAAACTGCTCGTATACCACTCCTAGTAGAGGTCATTCAACATGGGGCCGTCATTCGAACCCCCCCGATATATCGCCAAAGAAGTGCCCATATTCGGAGGGCACGTAAGTCTTTTGTTGTCGAGAAAGACTGTGAATTTTTTTTAGAGGACCTTCTGGTGGTTTCGGCCACTCTCATGCCAATTGGGCCGGGGGGAGGAGGGTGGCATTTTGCTAGCAATTTGAAGAGTGACCGCATGTACAGAATCCAAATAATGCATTGGGTGATCGATCTGTGCAAACGAAACTAGCAAGAATCTTGAACGCAGAACCCCACGGGTTCATGCAGCGGGCTAGCTCTAGTTTGGTTTGAAAGCGTTATCACCATCTTTTGTGCGTATAACCACACGTTCACTCACCATCACTCGACCTTCTCTTCCACCACCACCATTACCACCATCAAAGAAAGAAAAAACAACTCACCAAAACCCCCCAACTCTAAACTAAACACAACCTCCTCCATCCCCAACCTCCATCCAAAACCCTAAACCCAAACCCAACACAACACAAAACCGATGGCACTCCTCAGCACCCTCTCTGCCGCCCTCCTCACCCTCCTCACCCTCCTCCTCCTCCCGCACCTCGCTACCCTCCTCCCGCCGGCCACCCTCCTCCCGCCGGCCACCCTCCTCCCCATCCTGCACACCGCCTGCATCCTCCTCACGGCCGCTATCATGCTCCTACTACTCCGCGCGCTCATCCGCGTCCCTATCGCCTTACAGCGCAACGTCAGCCGAGGGTGGGCGCTGGCGGCGGCGGCGGTGGGGGGGGGGTGGGCGCTGTTTGCGGTGATGGGGATGGAGTGGGATCTGTTTTTGGTGGTGGCGGCGCATTGGGGCGCGTTGGTGGCGACCGGGATGAGGCGGGAGGAGGTAGAGATGGTTGGGAGGAGGTGGGGGTTGTGTTTGGGGGTTCTGGGGGTTCTGGGGCTGCTGGAGGTTGTGGGGTTGGTGGGGCCGGGGCCGGGGTTGGTGGTTGTGTTTTAGGGGATTGGCGGGGGTTGGGTGGTAGAGGAGGGCGCCCGCTGGAAATGGGTTGGTGGGGAGAAAGAGAGAGAACAGTCGTAGAGGTGGTTGGTTCTGTTGTGTTTGTTGAGTATGTCTAACTAGCACGCATATATAGACTCTCAGTCTTTAGCAGTACTATATATAAAGGTGGTAATGATTATAGATAATTTGCTTTTCTGGAGCTCCTATGGTCGAGAATATGAAGTACAAACCCTATTTAGCCGATGATGGCCTTTTACAGAGTAGCGACTCTTTAATATTATGAATATCATTAGGTAGTCAATATATCTCCGATGTCAATGATCGTTAATTAGTGCCGGTGTTGGTGGGAGAAAGTTTTGCAAACCCATCTATCAGTTTATTTAAACCGACCAAAAGCCCACCGTGGCTGAGTGGTTCAATATATCACGGATGGAGGTGGCAGTATGCTGAACCAAAGCTGGGCACCACGGTTCGTCATCTCAGCCAGCAGCCAATCATAGTTTATCACTCGCAGACCTAGCATAGCGTGTGAGTGTGAGAGTTTGTGATCTTGAAATTTATATAGACTTTTTACCTACTTTGAGATTCTTTATCTTCCCCGCATTCTAAAACCCCCCCTTCAAACGTTCCAGATATATTGTTCTCCCTGACATTGTACCTTTCCCTACATAATGCATGCACCACACCCCATATTGAAACTGTCAAAGAGGGACGCCTCCTCCCCCTCCAGCTAGCCAATCACGCCTCACCTTCCCGATTGGCCGATCACGAGACCTATGATATCCTGCTATGATCTCATAAGGTGCTCCCCATCTCACAAGCCCTCCTCCGAGTTGCTTGATTACTCTTACTCGATCGGATTTTAAAAGCGACGCAAAAAAATATATATCATCGAAACACAACTGCGCGGCTACACAGCGACAATTAATTGCCCCGGACCCTCCGGCTAGAGTACATTGCCCCCACCACCACCGCCGCACTGCAAGTTGCTGCTCCCCACTGTGACACCGAGTGCAATTGTTGGGAAGAAGGGAAGAAAAAGAGGCGCCCAATTCTATCCCTCCTGGCTAACGGCAGACCCGGCCCTGCATCTAGCTCAGGCTTCTCAGCTATGAATTTTCTATATATAGCCCCCCGCACACAATAAAAAAAAAGGGCAGGGTTAGGGTCGGTCTCCACAATCCCGGCCCGCGTAGGCTGGGGACCGCTTCGCAACACGTACATTTTCACCCTTTGCTGTCTCGCTCGGATGCCCCTGAAGAAGGAAGAAGGAAGAAAGGACCTTTCAGAATCAGGTTTTCCTCATACATCATTTTTTTTTACCGAGCACCCATAACCCATAATAATACCAACAACCTCTCTCTCTCTTTCACCCCCCAAAACTAAAACACCAAAAAATTAAAAAAAAAGAGACACCGAACGAAACGAAAGAATATAACCACCCCACCTATTTATATTTAATATGTCTATCCAGGACCGCACCACAGAGTTCCACGCCCTGACAACGTCGGCGAGCAAGAAGCTGAGCAGGAACAATCCGAGCTCTGCGCATGCGCGGTTACTCAGCAACGGCAAGGGAGAGGAGAAACCACGGCGGCAGGGAGGAAGAGGGGAGTTTGCGAGGAGGGCCATGGATATTGGGAGGGCGATTACGGACACTATGGGGAAGTTGGAGAGGTTGGCGATGTGTATGTTTTCTTCTTCTTTCCCCCCACTCCCCCCCGTTGTTTCAATCATAATGTTTTTTCTGTTTTTTGAGGTGGTGATGACGACGCCGGAAAATAAACGAGCTGGCTATTACAGAATTGAAGAACGACCTTGACTGACACAAAAAAAACAGTGGCCAAACGCAAAGCCCTCTTCGACGATAAGCCCGTAGAGATCGCCGAGCTCACCTATGTCATCAAGCAAGACCTCTCGTCCATCAACGCCCAAATCTCCTCGCTGCAAGCCCTCACCCGCTCCAAGGCCACAACCGGCAAGTCCGAAGAAGGCGAGCACTCCAAGAACGTCGTCGTCATGCTGCAGGGCAAGCTCGCCGACGTCTCGGTCGGCTTCAAGGAGGTTCTCGAAGTGCGCACCAAGAACATCCAAGCCTCGCGCCACCGCACCGACCAGTTCGTCTCGAACGTGCGCTCCAACTCCGCAGACCGTAGGAACACCCCCCGAACCCCTGCTTCTGCCCCCCTCCCTTCCAGTAGTATGGGCTTCTCGTCTTCATCCGCTTATCATCATCCTGCCACAGCGAACAACATGCCGTCCTACCACTCACCGCTCTACGCCACGCCCTCGAGCACGCCGCGGCCGGCGACGCAGCCAGACCTGCTCTCCCTCGACCCCACGCCCGCCGCGGCGGCGTCGTCGGCGATGAATGCGCAGCAGCTGGCGCTCATGGAGGAGGGGTCCGCGGCGAATTCGTACATCTCGGCGAGGTCGGAGGCGATCGAGGCGATTGAGAAGACAATCACGGAGCTGGGCGGATATTTAGTCAGTTGGCGCAGATGGTGGGGGAGCAGAGTGAGATGATACAGAGGATCGATCATGAGACGGAGGATGTGGTGGCCAATGTGGAGGGGGGGCAGCGGGAGCTGCTGAAATACTGGGCGAGAGTTAGTAGTAATCGGTGGTTGGTGGTTAAGATGTTTGGAGGTAGGTTTCTTCTGTTTTTCTGTGCCGCGGGTCTGGGGTCTGGGTCTGGGGTTCGGGCTGGCTTGATCCCTCCCGCCCACCCGCCTCCACATTAATGGGTTTTTGATAATGATAGTTGCTGACACAAATACATATTTTTTTAGTTTTGATGATATTCTTCCTCTTATGGTCTTGATAAGTTAGGTCTTTCAAGCCCCAAAATGTTAATTTTTCTTGATTCATTTGTTTATTTTTATTCCCGGAGCATTTACCTCGACTTCGTATTAACCACAACTTCCTCATCTTCTTTTTTCTGGACTGTTTACATAAATTCTCTTTTTTTTACTCATCTTTTTTTTATCCACTTCACTTCACTTCATTCTTCTTTCTTCTTATTTGCGTTGACTAAAAACGATGCCGGCTTCTTCCTCTTCTTCTTTTTTTACTTCTTCTGATCTTTATTGCTTGTTTTAATATAAACCATTGTACTGGTTTTCCTGTTTCGGCGTTTTTTTCTAGAAAAAATTAACTAGGGTTTTCTTTGTGTTATTTTGTATGTCTATGTTCTGTCCTTCCTTTTTATGGTCATGTACTAAGGGATATGGTATGGTATGGTATGGTATGAGAATGTGGGTGTGGGTTGTTGCACGCAGCTGGCTCTGTACGTCTATCTGTCTGTCTCTCTGGCTTGGAATCTGTTATGCACGTGGGATTCGATGTGGTTAATGATTGGGGTGCGGGGTGCGGGGTGGGGCGGTGGGGCGGTGGGGCGGTGGGGCGGTGGGGCGGTGGGGAGTAACATAATTCTATCATAGTTATACTTATACTCATGTTCTTGTTTCCTTGCATGAGTAATGCTTCTGTTCGGGAGCATTATGTTGTAGTATTTACGTGTGTGGGTTGCAGAAAGAGCGGCCGCGGGCAGGGCAGGGTATGGTGGGGTTGGGCCAGCTGGTGTGTATAGATACTTACTGTTCGTCGTTTCGTTTTGGCCCTTGAGACGGTATATGGGTTGGTGGTTTGCGTCGACGGGAAGTGCTATATGAGGTTACAGGGAGCGAGTGCTATATGGTGTCTATCGGCCAGCCAGCTGCACGGTATCTTATATGTCCTACGAGAGGCAATGAACGGGGAAGCTCGTCGATGACCCACGGCCCCTTCACGTATGTGCAGCTTGGAATCAAGCTAGGTGTCCCGGCCCACGCTGGGGAAGTTGGTCTTTGAATCTCCTTACTATATAGCCCCCAAGAGCTGTGAGGGCGGTGGAGGAAGGTATTAGGGATTAGAATTGGGGTTAGAAGCAGCACTGGGTTAAGAATGGTGGGGTGGGCCTTGGGTCTTGGGTCTTCGTTTAGGGCTGCAGCTAGCTGGGTTCGAGTAGTATGAAGTTGAGATCTGTAACTAGTATAGTCTAGAGAGGAATATTCCTCCTCGGCTTAGCCCAATGGCCCCCAGTCAAGCTATATACATGATGATGATGATGGATGAGCTTGCATGGGGCAAGCTGAGAGTATTGCTTTGATGTTAGGTTCCGAGCTCATTGATGTGGTGTTGCTGTATTTGTATTTGTATTGTCGTGAGTCGTGGGCATGTACTAGCTGTGTAGAACATGTAAAGCCTGGTCAGTGGATATGCGTACATGTATGCAGACTGTCCAGAAATGAATAGTTCTTAAATCAATTGGCTGCAGCGGCCTATTGAGGGGCCTTGGTCAGTTGGTCGAACTACTGAATGAGCCTTGGCCAGAGCGCGTTTTTTTTTTCTTTTCTTTAATTCATTAATTGCATGCATGGCCAGAGCGCGTGAGTGCATACCCTGTTGGCGTAGGACTTGAATTTAGCTTGTCCCCGACATTTACAGGATTGTGAGAATGTAGCTGGCATATATTCACTCATGATTCAGGATCTTGGTTGGGTACATGATCATATGGAAATAGGGATCAGAGGGACCCTCAATTTTCGGTTGGATCATAGGATATCACTCGTGAAGAGATTGCGGTCCCTATTTCTAAATATTGGTCTTTTTTTTTTTTTTTTGTTTAATTCATTAATCTAAATATTGGTCGGTTTTTGTTAGTTTTAAAAAGGTTTCACCATATATTAAGACTTTGAAGGAGATTAATATGTTAACTCTTCAGCTGATTATTGCTGCAGCAAAAGCTTGCTATAAGGGTACGCGTACGCTCGGGGCCGGAATTTGGTACCTTTGTAGAGATTACCTTTGTATAACTTAAGGGTGCTAGTGTTAAAAGCTGGGAAAAATGGACCAAGAAATACTACCTTTATAAAGAGATTATATTTTTAGGTATCCTCATAGGTACCCCTATAGGGGATATTCGCTGTAACTCTATATATTACCAAAAGCAATATTCTGCAGGCATGCCGCGTGGGACGTACCGTTGTAGTCATTTCGAAACAGAATTTATCCTTATCCATTCCTCAGGTTCCAGACAGTGTGGCTTGTGTGGTTAGTTCTTGTGGCTCTCTGTGGTAGACGGTATTTCTAGCCACTGAGAAGTTCCTCCGGCCGCCAATTAATGAATTAAACAAAAAAAAAAAAGAAAATCCTCCGGCCGCCGAGAACCCGAGGCGAACTCTTTTCACTATTTTGGTCTATGTTAGATTTCGCGCTACACTTGGGATAAAGGGGGTGAAGGACTATATAGCCTGACTCGTTGCCTGTAGGCGCGTGTAAGCGCCAAGTTAAAGTATAATTCACAAGACTTTTGGGGGGGTTAGTCTATATCATATCGTTATATACATAGTAGTGATTCATTCATGATCACTAATCACAGCAGTGTTACTATCGTGACCGCACATACATATATAGTTATAATATCCTCAGTTTAGTCATATACAAACATGTCCCCACAGTAATATTTGATTGTACGTTCATCTAAGCCAATTAGGGCATCAGTGTAAAAGACCCCTATTTGTTCCTCGCGAGTGATATTTTGTGATGCAAATAAACCAAGGTGATCTCGTAATCCTTCCTACCCTTCACCACAACTCTTACAAAGCAGGGAACAAACCGAATCCTCTCACCAGTACATAATCCACTAGTTAAGGGACCCCGATTTGGTGTCTTAGATTCTAAGATCAACCTCGAGCTCCGGTACGATACACGTGTGCAATATTTTAAGGTCTGGTCAGTGCTACGATGCACCAATGGTTGGTATATATATGTGGTCAAGTCAAATTCATAGAGCGTGACCCTTCTCTTTCTGTGTTGTTTTACCCCGAGTATATAGAGGTCTAAGATTCATAATAGAGCTGTACATCTTATTTCAAGTTCATCTGAAGCTCTCTTTAATGATGACTATGCAGCCTCAAAAAGCCATACATGATCGATATCGCTGGTTGAAGTATAGCAGTTACCAACATCGCCACATCTCTGAGCCTCCTTTTTATATTGTTAAGAAGTACCCTACTACGTAGAGAACGACTATTACTGCTACCTGTAGTAACGAACTCTGCGGTTGTTTCGGGTCCTTGTTTCGCAGAGAATTCCAAAGAGAGTGAAAAATCCAGAAGGACAATGAATTCTGAACCAAGAATATGAGTTTTAGAGAGAGTATCTGTAATTATGATCATGCCAGTGCTATATTTGATGATTAGGGGTTGAAACCCAGAACACAGAAACACTAGCACCAGCTCGCTGTATAAATATGCCCACCGTTCAAAAAAAAAAAGGCCAAAAGTTTCACTAAGGAGTCTCCACCTGGGAGCTGAAGTAGCTACTTGTACATCTTTTGCCTACGTCTAGAGGGCCTAGGGCCGGGTTGAACGCTCGCAGCTCTTACAGAGTAACCCAACCCACGCTCACAGTTATTGCTTTGGTACTATTGCCTTCTTAGTTTACGCTAGCTTGATAATACTTCATATATGGGGAGTACCCGGAGCCAGAGCATGCTGTACACCAAAGTAGACATATATATGCCTAAACCGGCGGAATAGCCTAAGAGATATCGCCGGCTCAATACCACTGGCGATATGAGAAGTGATGGATACCGGTATACCCCGCTCCCTTAAAAACACTTTTTATCATCATGTCGGTCTTTTACTACCAATCCCACCTCACCGCTCTGCTTGTTCTGTTAATACGGTGCCGAGCACTACAGGTTCTCTGTTACAGGAAAACGAGGTGGTTTTCTGAGGAGTTGATAAAATATCTTCAACACAAGTTTGAAGTGTGTAGCTTCGAGCCAGAGATGTTCATGATGATTTAGGAGTTCGAGGAACTAGCTATAACACTTATTGTGTGATGTTGAACTCGTTCTATTTGAGACTAAAGCTCATGATCATAGCCTATGGCTGTCACCGTTACCATTGCTTTATGGCCCCCGCAGTAGACACGACTTTCAGTCAGTAACAGTAAAACTCCTACCTAACCAGGAGAGCCACAGCTTCGAAAGTGAATAGCATTACAGCAAGCCCAAGGTTATGGCTAACTATAAAATTGGCGGTATTCTAGTTACACGGTGGTTGCGGGGCAACGAGCCACTCTAAGGGCCATGAGGGAGTTCACTTACATGAAGTTACGTAGGCTGCTTAGCGCGGCCATGTATCACTTTGGAACCGTCGTTAGAAGAGCAGGACCGGCCATATATCGTGAGGCATATTCTCAACTCTAGGATTATGTTGCATCCTGAGATTCAAGGGTCCCGGGAATTCCCTGATCACGCTAGTCATGCATTCCACAGTTTTTCCGATGCTTGCATGTGTTTTTGGTAATTTCAGCTGGATTTGACAAGGTCTGTGATAAATTCACTTGTTACTGCAAACTCAGAATCCCATGACGCCGAACAGACCCCAAATCTTGTATTATTTGCACTTCCAAAATCGCCTTACTTTACTGCGTGCATTTGTATGGTGTCATTCCACGAAATCGCTGGTCACGCTACACTTGCTCTTGACAACACAAACCACTGAAAACTAAAGATTTAGTCGCTTGCGTAAGAACCTTTGACAGCGGTAAGCTGTTTTATGCCATTGAAAAGTTGAAGGATGGTTCTCCGAGACGGATATACCACTTAAGTTCAGTTTAGCCAAGGTACTCTTTTTTTTTTATGGGAATCTAAGCTTCCTTGGATCTACCATAGCCCCGCTGTGTTCAATATGCTCGTCCCCTATTGTTACGTATGTCCTTATCAATCAAATCACAAGCACTATTGCTTACGTATGTCTCCTCATAGTTGATGTCATTGATCGTCAAAAAGCCTTAAGTCCGGGCCGGATTTGGTATCTGAATAGTATGAGCCACAGATAGATGTATTGGAGATAGAGAGGGTTGACGGGGCTGTAGAGGTGCTCGGTCAGAAGTATAAAGACATGTATCATGATTGGTAAAAAAAGAAATTGGTTGTAACGTGGAAAATGATATGTATACTTCTGCTCTGCCAAGCGTTATATTTTTCATATTCCGGCGTGGGGGCTTGTGGAAGCAAGAGAAAACACCTCTCGCTGAAAATAAAGACTGATAAGAGGGTCTTACAAAAAACTTGCAGGCATGATTATTGAGGGAGTAGCCACAGTGCTGGGTTCGGTATTGTATCATTTGCCAATTTTCCCACCAATTAAGTAGATCTTTTGGTATACAATTGCTCCGATATTCCTGTAGGTTTTTATATTCAAGGAGTTCATGTTAATTCCTTGCCAAAATCAAAGTAAGTTGAGCCTATGAGAACTCTAAGGTAATAATATACTCGTGCGTCTTCGCCAAGGATTTTAACGTGACTGAGAGATCAAGGCATTTGACCAATTGAAACACCGAAATCCCTTTCTTCACAGAGTCAGGTGAAAATTCTTGGCGAGTATATTTGGGTTTCGCATTTTCCTAATGATGTTGAAGGATAAAATAATCCCTAGTATAAACATATAGTTCCTATATATTTGATTATATATTAGGATATAATTGCCATACTATAATAATGACCTTTATATTTTATATTTGATGAGCAATCTCGCCTTCTGACAAATTCTCCGATAGACCTGACTAATGGAAATGATTGAATCCTCAGGTTCACACTTGAGTAAATTTTTTTGCTTTTGATGTGCATGTGATTACACACAGTGTTTCTACTAGTAGAAATCCACTTACAAGTTAAGTAGATGACGTCTCCCCACGATGCACATAGATGCGCGCGAGTAACTCCCTAAAAAGAGAAAGGAAAAAACAATATCATCCAGCGATCATCCAACGGCTGCAGTCAAAGAAGGCATAAGAAAGTATTCGAATCAGAGTTGTGAATTTCAACAGGGTGTAGAGTAGCGATAGGTTTCTGGTTTTATATTAGCATGTACATACATATTTAAAGAATTGAGTAAACTTATTGGCCAAGGCCTGCTTTCCTTCTTTCTTTTTGCATAGCTTTTAGCGCCCTTAGAGTTCTCAGGTTCAGGTATTCATATGATCATGGCTATGCTAATGTCAGTAATGTCTTCTGGTTCACTCCTCTACTGAGTCGGGAATCTCAACGTACGTACCGAAATCGAGGATCTCTATTTCTAGAAATCCTGATTTGATCGTCTAAAATACGTACATACATGTAGATCATAAAGTTTCTTCTTGGGAGCATTTATTGTCGAATGCCGGCCGAACCTTAAGTGCGTACGCGTGTGGGGGTATGGTTGATCCCATGCTGCATGCCACAGTGAAGAGTGATGTCTCATGATGCGGACATAACTCGGCCGAAAAAAAATAATATCAGAAGGCTGTAAGGTACGCATGGAGAGTCTTGTCTTGGAATGGACGCGTTATTGTTGGGAACTTTATGTCTTTAGGTGAAAATTTGCGATCTTGTTTCAGGTACGTTGGAGATTCTGCGAGCCTATCCGCCCCAACCCATGGTGATATGCGCAGTGAGCATATCTACCACACAACATGACCGCTATGTGCAAAAATTCCTGATGACCTTTTTAATGTTTATTTGATCGTTTATGTCACTCCAGAGATTGACCACGATCACCAAGTTAGCTTTGTAGGTACATAGTCTCTAGTGGAGTTTATGACAGATAAGTACCTGCGTTACCATTTGAATCAATTTGGAGTGGAATATCCAAATATCGAACCGGACTTACAGTTGGCCATGACAGAGACGTGTAAAGTCCGAAACACCCCTGATTGGCTGAGCACATGTTGCAAATCTCACAGTTTCTCAAATTCACAAGAGGATGATGCCTTTGTGGGCTTCCTAATAAATTTCGCGACTGAATAAAATATTCGTGTCCGGATTGAGCACACTGCCTTTGCCACGTTAGGGATTATTGTTACTTTTTGCCCCCCAACTAACTACGTAGAGACAAGCCTGGTTGCAACGTGTACATATGCCTTTATCGGCTCCGCGCGTGTCTAGACCTTTGAGGGGGCACGGCGGCTCAGAGGTACATCTATGAAACCCATAATACCCCATATTCGAGCGAATTCCGGGAGTGAGGGTATGTTTCTCAACTCCCGCTGGTAGATAGGCATGCCTGCATTTGTAAAAATGGACAGAATAAGGATGTTAACGACCGTAATGCATTGGGGTCTGTCCCAAAGCTTAACCAAAGTACATGCAGAGGACATTTTCGTCTCCAGTGAACTCTCAAACCTAGCCGCCTTCAAGCAATTTGACGTTGCAGAGACTACTTTGGTCACTAGCCGCCAAGTTTGCCCAAGAGGGCATTTCTCAAGATTTGCCTGCCACGGCGGACATATCGCATGTAGACGGGTTTCTTCAACAATGGAGTGGCGATCCTATCCGGATGAAATGCACATACGCGTGCGCTTTGCAGGCTGCGGTCTTCCCCCATCTGCTGGGTGGCCGCACGGCTTGCTGATTTTATGATGATGGGCGTTAGGCGGTGGCCCGCAGTGGTGCCAGACCGATCTTTTACAAGACATTTTTTTTTGTGACTTTTCATGCTGAAGCTGGTGGCGCTTGATGGAATTGGTGTATAAAACCAACATCTCTCTCATGAGCTGTAGTCCTTTTAAAGTTTGCAGTTGCAAGCAGCTCTCCCGAAGCTACATAAGTTACCAAGTTACCCCTGAGCACTAACCACGATCAGCTCTACTTATAATCTCTCAACATCGAAGCATTGTAACACCACTACCACACACGACCCCGCTATCTTCCATAAATCACGGCACAGTAACTGAAAATCTTTTCATCTCGCTCTTTGAATCCTCAAACATCATATGACCATGGCTTCATATCAATTGCTTCCGGACGATGTCCTCTTCCTGATCCTCGAGGCTGATTGCAACACCAATGGAAAGTCTACATTGTTCAAATGGCGGCTCGTCAACAGCATCTACAGCAGGTTTGCCTCGGGACTTCTTTTCAAGACGCAATCCATCACCTTCGGATGTAATATAAATAGCAAAAACACGCTTTCAAAATCAGTCGAATCCCTGCGTTTCCTAGACGCGAATCCACGAATTACACAAATGATTAGGAAATTGACTTTGAGGGGATTTATCTCAACTGGAGACGACTTTACTGAAGTGTAAGTTTAAATTCAACCAGTAGGTGGGGTTCGGTTAAGTTCTGACATGTTTAGACCCGCCCTTCTGAGAAAGGTTCTTAGTAAGATGGAAAGGCTTGACTGTCTCAATTGGGATCTGACCGTGGAAGGATCTCGGCTCACGAGCGAGAATTGCGACCAAGAAGAAGTACAGGCACACACACGACTACAACCTGAAGGTTTCTGGCTATCTCGGCCTAAGACTATCGTTGAGCTTTACAAAAACGTGGCCGCTCTCCCAAATCTCAAGAGGCTATGCTTGAATATGCCATGGTGGGAAGCTGCGATCCTTAAGCCTCTGAATACAAAGGCTGAGGTACATTTGCAAGCACCAGGTGCTGGGATCTATGAATGGGAACCAGAAACTGTTATAAGGAAGGATAATGTTTTCGGCCCATTAACATCCTTGGATATCACTGTTCAAGAGTATAATGGCAACAGCTATGTCCACGCACTTCTTGAGAAATCCCAGAACACCCTTAGACACTTGGTTTTCCGTTCGACTAATGGTCTCGACTACCCCGAAAAGTATGAAAATTTGACTTTTCCGAAACTCGAGACCTTAGTTTGGGAGGTCTACAACCCAAACAGATTCGACAGAAAAAACACGGGTTTAAATAGTTCGTCCCAGAACTCTCTATCAACATTTCGCAATGGCAAGAGGTTCCTTGGTGCATTTCTCGAACGTCACCCCGGAATCCGATCTGTTAAGATTGTTTTCAACCATTCCCTGTTTCCTGGAAACGTTCTTGAATGTGCTGCCATCAATTCTTGTGCGAGACCGTTTATTGATGCTTTAAAGCAATTGCCCAAACTCGAGTTTCTTCAGTTTGTTGGGCTTCCAGTATCGTGGGAATTTGCGATATCAATTGCGAAACAACACCCCCAGCTTCAAGGTCTCTGGCTACCAATAATGTTAGAGTCGCTCGAAGAACCCTTTTTGTACACGCCTTCGACACAAAAGGCAAGACCTTACGTGAACGAATTACGGGAATTGGTTTCTTTCACACCAAAACTTAAACTCCTCTGTTTAAATACGAAGAAAACATGGCAATTTGAACTTTCAGATGCAGTTTCAACGGTAGCAAAAAGCTCAGGAACATTGGATGTAGCTATTGTTACTTGGGCTAGCCAAACAAAGTCATGGTATAGATTTGATTCTAATCTAGTTTGGGGCGACCGGATATCCAAACGGTTAGCGCAATATTCTGCATCTGTGCCGGTGTCGAATCTTCAATTCTGGCCACGACTCCCGAGGCCGAGCGGCGAGTGGCTTGATAATCCAGATTGGAATTATTCAGAGGAATTTATGAGTGGTTTGAGAGATGGTAAGTGCTATCGTATTGTCGGAAAACATCCTTTTTGGGTCAATCAATATCTGACTTTTTCAATATAGATGCTATTGGAAATTCTATTTTCGATATTTCAAGGACATATCAGGAGAATCGGTTTCTTTCAATCACTCAAATTTGAGCGCGAGGGTATCTTGTTCCCAAATATTCTCGGTATATTAGAGTTTTTTCCCTTCTAAAGCCCTACACAACATACATAGACACCATGCCGTGCCAGGCTCGAAATATTTCCTTCCAAAATTTCTTGGTTGTTTCTTTATCGATCATTTTGCTACCTTCTATTTCTTTTGTCTTTATTTGAATTAAATATGTATATTACGAATATGTTTAAAATGTTATATAGCTATAATATGTGTATGTACCAAGAAGTTTATTTCAGAGGAACATTGCTCTTGCGTTCATTGTGTAATATGTTTGCATAAACCAAAGTGAAAACTTACATGCTCTTTGCATCATATGGGTGATTAACAGAAGTACATGTAGCTTTACTAAACAGTACTCATGGTGAAACAGTACTGTCGTGCCACCACCATCACTTAATTATTCATCCACAGGTGTCCCTTGAAACATATGTATATGTGGTCACAAGGCAAACATTCTCCTTGACTGCCATGGACGGCAAGTCATTGATCTTCTCCGTGCATCCCTGCTTTATGAAAACCCTAGAATCCACCAACACATACATTTTTATTGCCTCTCAAATACCCAAGTAGTAGAGTATGTACTAATATTTTGCATACATATATGTATCTCGATGAGGGGGGTGTTCCTCGCCGGTATGATGACTAGGTACATGTATATCTCTCAATTGATCACCAATCACACCCCTAGTTAGGGCTGAAGTTCATATAATTACGGCGAATAAAACTTATAAGGATTAAGTAGTATTAAGGGGGCACAATTATTGCTTCTTCAAGATTACATAAATATGTGACTACCATCTTAATCCCATTTTCAACCCGGCAGTTACTATACCTAGTTGAAATTGACAGCCGAGTACACGTATAAGTGCCCTGAATTATAAAACCATAACGAGACAGAGCAATATATTTATGTGACTCCATCCTATACTCTAGCACTTACAAGGTGGTTAATCGATTCATGGGTCCACTATGCGCCGACGGTGTTAATCGGTGGGCGGCTACGAAGGCACCGGCGTTAATACAATCCTAGCCAGCTGGGCCGGCCATCAGCGTGATCAACTACTATCACAGCTAAAGAATAAGAAATGCTACCAATTAGCCCCCATCGGTTCAAAAAGGGTATTCCAAATACTGGGAACTCCGACGCCCCGGCCTTCTGTACCTGGCTAGCTCATGTTGCAAAAGTAGCTCAGCAGGATCATCTACTATGTCTCGACCAACATAATATTATATTATAGATGTTCAAGAAAAGTATGTTGGGGATCTCAGCTTGCAAGTGTGGCACATTTGGAGCTTCCGACCGAGCTAATTAATGTGGATGACTTTCGGTGAATTCTTTTTCAAATGATATGCGTCTTAAGCTTGTGCACTGACTTCCAAATGATATCTAGTTGTACGGTCAATGCATTACCCCTCTAAGCCTTTGAGTAGGTACAGTCGCAACTCGATATGTCAGATCTCAATACGCCGGATCGCTTACTGTCCCGTACGAAGTCCTCTGGGATTTTAACTTTCTTACTGTAAAACTAATTTGCTATCCCGGATTTTTTGCTATCCCGTACGAAATCCTTCGAATCTTGGCAATCCGGCATATCAAGTTGCGACTGTATTCCTTGCACAGCTCTTGACGCTTTGAAGTTCTATATGGTCAATCCGCATATCCATATTCGAGATCTAAGAATGATACATGTTGCACGGAGCCTAAACAGGGGAACCAACCACCACCAAAGAGTGCCCTATCTAAGAAATTTGTTAAAAGATACTGCCAATTGTCTAAGAGAACCCCTGAATTACAGATACAACGTACTGCAGTACTACCGAGATTAGTTAACCACGTGTGGTTTACATATTACCGGCCGTTACATACGATTTCCCAATAGTGCCGTGTGCATAGCATTTCCTATGCGTACAAGGATTATATGGTTTAAAGAATTTACCGGTCAACTTAGCACTGCGCCCCCAAACTATGAATTTGAGTTCTATTGGGTTATCTACTCGACTAGGAGCGTACTAATTACTAAAGTTGGTAGGAGCATGCACACTCTTTCCATAAAACATTGTGGTCGATCGTTGGTAGCAACTAGCCTGCGATCTCCCATGGCCATGATTGACACATGCAACAATATTAATAATACTTACAAATGGTGTAAATTCGAATAATCCATCCCAGAACGTACCGCTATGGGCAATTTTATTCGATCATACGATATCACTCGGAGAGGTTCATCAGAATCATACTTACCCGCAAAAATACCACGATAGAGAGAGACTTTAACACAAAAATTGCAAATTCTTGAGAGACAACTCTTTTTGGTAGCCCTAGTCAAGTTTGGGCCGGTCATGTCGGTCATTCATTATCACTCGAAACACCTACCAGAAATCTACCCCTGTTTTGCTATTTATATGCACCTATCGTTTACCGGGTATTCATGCATGGACTTCTAAGGAGTGGTGGAACCTTATACATAATTGCCACCTGATCACGTAACTCATTGGTAACGACTTCGATTAACCTTCCTGTGCTGCGCCGCTCTCGACTTGTGTTAAATCCCACCTTATCAGGCCACTGGCTGGGGCCTGCAGCCAAGGAAGAAGATTGTGGGGTTGGATCAGTATGTTTCAATTAGCGAGGAGAAACAGGAATATGTGGGATGCTATTCGGCATATCTAATACCCTTAATATTTATGGTAATTGAGACTCGATCGAACTAAGAGGAGGATATCGAACCCTGGAATGATCCAGGTTCCAAAGTCTGATATGGGGTCGGGCACCAATGTCCCACTGTGATAAGACAAATTGACTTACGATACCGACGGGTATTGCCACTGGTCTATTGACTAGCTGAAGAATGAAAAGCAATAGAGAGCAGTACGTTTTCTGCCAAACATCCACCACTAAGCATGTGCTACAAGAGTGTAGAACTTGGGAGTTCCCGAAACTAATACACAAGGCAATACTATGAACATATTGGTTTCACAATATCATTTGGGATGTTTCAAAAATTAGGTTCTCTGTCTATATGGGGCTTACTAACGAACATCTCCAATTGAGAACCTAACATCCTGAATCACTACAAGTCACTCGGGTTATGTGTTGAACCAAAACCGGAGCTTGCCCGATACCTGCACCAGCCCTGTTGATCCATATAATTTCTGTAACAGGATTCCAAGGTTTGCTACGTAGGTACACACGTTACTATGTTAACATATATGTATAATGCATAACTACAGGCATACATGTTAATATCGTGAATTATTAAAGCCGCGCGTAGATCAAAAATCGGATCCGATGTCCAGGTCTGGGGGAATCGAAATTTCCCAGCGAAAATCGCCTTCTCTATAAACCAATTATCTGGGATTTGGTCGGGATGATTACTCGCCGGGACACCCAGGAGAGTAATCGGTAACGCAGAGGCATGTGCAACAGATATGGTGTGCACGGGGAATGGGTAGTTTATGGCGATAGCCGTTTGTGGTGGTATATGTGGGAGTCGATAATTGATACAAGCACAGGCCTTGGATGCAATTCCCGTGACTTGAAATTGATATTGCACCATACCGGCCACGACAAATCAACCGCGCACGGTATCTGCGACACACACATCCATCCCCACATTTCGTGCGCCATAGATAAAACATCAGCTGTAGATCCGAGCATGTGCCAGGAACTCGGATATGTTGCACCCTTCTTTTTTTTCTTTCTTTTCTTTCCCACACGCTGAATGTGCGCATTTGGCTCAGAAGCTCAAACAGACCCGTGTACTTGATGTTATGATTGATGTTAGGCGACCACATTAACGAAACAAACTTTGTTCTTGTAGCCTTAATTAATCCCTCGGCAGCAACAGTATAGATAGGTAATTGCAATGGGGGAATGTGTGTGTATGATGTGTGCGGGCTGGCAGTCGAAAGTGGGTTCTGTACACTTCGATTGATTTCAGCTACATAGATATGTAACATACATACTTACGGAGGAGGGGGAGGGAGCGGGGAGGATGAATGTGCACAAACAAACCGTAAATGTCAAAAAGCCGGGAAGGACGCAACATCAAACCTAATCCTCTCAGAGTGCCGTTGATTGAAATCCATCCCGTTGGGCCTGTCCTGTCTGGCGGATCCTCGGCAACAGCAACATTTGACAAATTGCTGTTGGGTCTCGGATGGAAAAAATTCCCCTTCTTGAGTAACTTGTAATCATCTCGGTAGACTGGTTATGTAGTGCAAATAGATCCTTCACAAACTCGGTCGTATCGGTCGTGTGTGCGTGCGTACTCTATTCCAGTTGGAGCTAGCTAGAAGTCGAAGGCCGGTATTCTCGGATGTGTGTTTGTCAGTCAGTATGTAGACATGGGAGGGAGGGTCCAGTGAATACGGTATATACGAAGGCCTACATACATGCACACCCCATTTGCAAGCTCCCCTATGAGTCATTACCACTCATTCTCCCCAGCCGCAACGATTGGGTGCACGGTGGATTGTGCCCGACGATTGGTGAAAACCCCAACACGCGACTCTGATTTGAGTAACGAAACGAACCATCCTGCATTGCGTTCTGCAGCCAGCGACGAATTGGGTGGTTACGTATGTATGGATATATGCAAATAGGAAGGTATCGAGGGGATGTCTAAGCCTCAATCACTTTACTGCTCTGAGTACTTACATCACATATGTACTCGCGACCAGCAACAAGAACCCGAAAATGCACGTCCTAATCTGCAATTTCCATTGGAGTAGAAGTCAAAAATACACCAAAGACTTGCAGCTGCATATTCGGGTTCTTGTTGCTGGTCGCGAGTATGTACTGGGTTTGTTGCGGCTCCCCGATAGGGCTGAGAAATTTAGGTGATGATGGAGTGATCTCTTTTTTCATTACTTACTCTGGGGGATCCAGGGAGAAGGCCAGGTGGTTCGTTTGTGCTGCTGGGATGGGATGGAGCTCAAGGGGAGGATCGTGGTTGTGGTGCTACTCGACATGACA